CTCCCGCAGGAGGAATTAAATAATCTAAATATGAAGGCCCCGAATTAAATATTAATATTTAATTCGGGGCCTTCATATTTAAATTATGTAAATTATTTAAATTATTTAAATTATTTAAATTATTTAAATTATTTAAATTATTTAAATTATTTAAATTATTTAATTCCCGGGCCCGAATTAAATAATTTAAATATGAAGCTCCAGAATTAAATATTCATATTTAAATCGGGGCCTTCATATTTAATTCAGGCCTGGGACCCCCCCTAGGACCTAAAATAGGGTCTATTTGGAAGTTGGCTCTTGTAAATAAGTATACGTTTTGGGGCCTTTTTTCCTCTTGTGAACACGAGTGCCAGCTTCCAAATAAACCCTATTTAAGCTGCACACCCCCCCCCCCCCCCCCCCCCCCCCCCCCCCCCACAATAAGGAAGGCAGGGTTCCGCAATAGTTGGACCATGGCCCCGTCAGATTCCAGAAAACCGAAGCCCCGGCTTCCTTAAAGTTTTTCCTTTTAAGCTTTAAGGCTTCTTTAAAGACTACAGGACCGGGGCTCCCCACGGGCCAGGGCTTCCCATAATTCTGGCCCCATTCTATTAATGTGACTCCGCCTTTCGAGGCCAGAGCCCGTAAGGGGTAGCTCAGGAAAGAATGAAAATTTCTGTCCTCCAGTAAGCAATCACATAAGAAATCCTTGCTTTCTGAAGGCCCTCAGCTTCCAGAAAACCGAAGCCCCGGCTTAGCAGATGTTTCACATCGACCCAAACATCCCTGCAGAAGAAAAAAAGCTTTCCGAAAGGCAGAGTTTCAAAATTTGACAACCCCCCAAAAAAAAATTTCTTTAAATGTGGAGGGTTTGGCCCATACGAAATCCATCGTAATGGAAAGTAGTCTTCCGGCGGGAATCCCGGCAAAAAACATTTCTTTAAATATGGGGGGTTAAATTAAACAGGAGCTCGGATTATTCTTTCATTCTTGCATTCTTTTATCGATTTATCGACTCATCAATTGACTAATTGACTCCCTCGCCGATTCCTTCATTCATCCATCCATCCGAGTCAAATTGGGCGCCTTTCGTCGGCAAGTCTTCACCTTTTCTTCATCTTGCCCAGCTTTAGGCAGAGCAGGCCTTGGACGAGGCGCTTCACAACGAAGCGATGCTCAGCTGAAAATTGCACCTGCTGCTTTCTCGAAGTTGCAGCGATAATTCTGAAGCAAAAGTTCATCAGCAAGAAGTGAGCTCATGCAGTGACTATAGAAACTCCAGTAGAGCTGAATTTTTATCGGCTTAAGAAGGAATAGGAGAGAACTCCCCTTCTTCTTTCTGCGATCGGAAAGAAGAGGTCCCCCTCCAGAGGAAACATAGGACTCCTGAAATCTTGCAGCGAGCAGAAGGCACCCGAGACAGCCGCTGCACAGCTCAGGATCGGAGAAGTCTACGGTGCCTTCTTTGCGGGGCTGTTTCTGTTGGCAACAGCCGCTGGCATCTTATGGCTGAGACACAGCTACCAGGTGCAAAGCGCCCAGCAAATGAGCACGATTGTCTCTTTGAATGAGGAGCGGGTCAAAATCTTGACCAGGCTCCATCAGACCCACCTGCCAAAGCCAAGTGCTGAAAGCCTTTCCAAGCCGCTTTTACCCAAAGGTTAGAGCTACAAAAGCAAAAAAGGATCTTGCAGTGCCAGGAACCTTGCCATTGTCCATTGCTTAGGTTGTTTCTGGGTTCAGTTCTCTGGTTCCTCCCTTCCAGTGCCAGGCAGTCAGGCAGCGTATGCCTTTGCCCGAGGACTCTTTGCAGGGTGTGTTTACTTGAAGACAACACGCGCTGGGGAACAGGCTTGAATAGCTTGGAAGCTTTCAGCCGCTTGACGCCTGCAATCGATTCAGGAGAAGGTTCTGAGCCGCCTGAAGATGGTTGGGTTGTCCGGGGCTATGCCGCAACCGTTTCTCGAGAGCAGATTGCCGACATGTCTCAAGCTGGAACTGAGAATCATAGGCAATGTTTCGCACATTCACGGTTGACGCAGGATTTGCTTAGAGGCCCAAGCACAAGCCACGAAGTGGGAGGGTCGAACTCATGGCGGAAGATGAGGACGGGACTTGCTGACTTGGGGCGTCGCGCATGAACCACAGGAGTAGGTGCATGACATGCTAGTTGCCACCGAGAGCAAGTGCTGTACATAAGATCTCAGACAGAAGCATACCTGGAAGCAGGAGCAAGTCCCAGACGGCGATGCGGACCAGGCTGAGAATGAAGCTGATGTCGGCCAGGAGGAGGATGACGAAATGCAGGCAGACGTGGAGGATGGGCTGGAAGCCCCCCAGCAGGACGAGCCGCAGGACGACCCTGACAATCAGCAAGATGACCAGCAAGAGAACTGTGAACAAGACCAGTATGAGCTAGAGGAGGATCCGCAAGACGAGCAGATGGACGACCAAGCAGCCGAGCAGCAAGATGGACAACAGGATGAGCCGCAAGACGAACAGCTAGAGGGTGATCACGATGAGCCCATGAACGACGCAGCCGGGGATCAATCGCCAGCGGATGGAGAAGGGCCGGAAAGGGAGGACGAAGAGCAAGAGCCGGCTGGCGATCGGGGAGAAGGTTGTGAGTCTGATAAGGGTGGGGCTAAGGGTGAACATGAAGACCCTGACGTTGCTGCGGAGCATGAAGAAGGCGGGGAGGAAGGTCACAAGGATGACAAGGATGGAGAGCCAGACTCCAAGGAAACTGGAGACCACCCGGGGCGCTGTGAGGTGGACTTGGAGGAGTCAGAAAAGGATCCAGCAGAGGAGGCCGAGGCAGAATGGGAGGGCAAGGATGAGGCCCAGCAGCCATACGTGGAGTGTGAGGAGGATGCGCCAGAGGATTCAAGGAAAAGGGTTGAACCTGGCACCTTTTCTGTCAGCTCCTCGCACTCAACCTTGAATGTCATGACGCCAGATGGCAAGCTGCTACTGCCGGTCACTGACCGAGGCTTTCAGCATTTAATTGCTTGTGCGCGAGCTACGGCAGGGCTGAAGGATGGCAGATATCTTTTCGAGGTGCGCATTGTCGAGCTGCGCCGATCAGCCGACAACGGCAAGCATCGGGTTCCCAAGCATTTTTGCGGAGTTGGTTTTTGCACAGAGGGGTCATCTCTTTTCTTGGGAGATGAGGGGAGCATGGGCTTCGACTCGGAGGGCTGCTTGTGCAAGGATGGCCGAAAGAGTTGGATGGATGGCTTGAACGACCGCATCAAGCTGGACCGCCAAGTTGTCATTGGGGTACTTTTGAACCTGGATGCGCAAAGTCCAAATGCACATTCCCTCAGCCTCTTTGTCAATGGTGAGCGCTTGGGAAGACCACAAAGCTTGCCTGACAATCTTAAGGGCAAGACTCTGTACCCTTTGATCAACTTCAAGAATGCAGCCTGCCTGATTCAAAGGAGTTTAGCATAGCTGAGGCCTACCGCCTTCTAAGGCCATCTTTGTGCATGACCAGGCAGCCATCTAAACAAACCAGCGTCGCTCGTACCTGCACTACATTTCCCAGCCCGCACGCTCTCATCGCATTGCTGAGGTGACGCTTCACGCCAACTTCTCCGGGCATACGCCGTTTGCAGCTTTGCCGTTTGCTTGCCGCACGCTGCAAGATGCAGCCCAGGAGGATGTTGAGACGCAAGATGTGAAGGACAACCAGTACCAGGCCAAACGGTGAGATGTCAACACATGCCTTGCCAGCAGAAAAGCAGAGTGCATTTCCGGCATTTTCCCACCCCCACCCTAGCTGCCCTAGCTGCTTGCTCTGGCCAGGTTCTAGTCCCAATTGGCTTGCCCGATGAGGGGACGTTTGCCTGGCTCGATAGTTTCAAAGAAAAGGCTAAGTTCACGGAGCTCTCTGGACGAAGTGTCAAGGAGTGGGCAATGAAAAGTGGCCTGTGGCCCTCGGGTCACGGACGCACCTTCAATGATCAACCTACCATGGACTTCGGCTTGAAGGAGCTAGATAGTGGGACGACCAGGCAGGTAATACACGCCATCGCTCCGTGTTTGCATCGCAACTACATCGTCATGGAGGTGCAGAAAAACCTTCTGGCCGAAGATCGTCGGAAGGCCCTTGCGGCATTCAACACTCAGAATTTCAAGCGTGTCGCTATGGTGGTCATGGGTGAGCCGCCAGAAGAGTTTAAGACCGAGGCGCGGGAGAACCTGCTGCAAGCTCGCAGGGACAAGGTTGCTGCAGAGGTGCAGAGGGCGAAGAAGCGGCCTTCGAAATGGGACAACGGGTCTCAAGCAAACTTGAGCCCAGAGGAGTTGGAGGCCGAAGTCAAAGCTAAAGTAGATGAAGTCAAGCTGTCCGACTCGGAGATGCAGTCTTGGTTCCAGAAGCAAAATGACGGGGACATTCCTGAGAAAGACCTGGCGAAGGTCTTTAGCGATTTTAGCTTGCCATCTGTAGATGAGGGCTTTCAGGAGATCCAGTTCATTTGGCAAGGTGAGGAGGACTGTTCCAAGCACTTGAAGAAGTGGATTGCCGAAAGAAAACTGACGCAAAGGGTTGAGGATTTGAAGCCCAATGATTGGTTTAAGAAACAGGCAGAGCTGTGGCAGCAGTCCATGTTAAAATGGAAGCGCAAGCATGAAGACTGGCACGATCCGATGAAGAAGAGGCTCCAGCATGCGTTGCTTCATGGGGATGCGCATGGATGTGCTGATGCCAGTCCGAATTCACATGTTCTTGCGACTGCCAGGCGGCTGGAAGAGGAGGCACGCCGTAGGCGAGACGAGCAGCCTCAGGAAAAGGACAAGCCCTTGCCAGTTGGCCGACTGGATGAGAAGGTTGTGGATTTGGAGTCTCGGCAGCTAATCAGGCAGAACGGTGAGCGTGGAGCGAGGGTGCTATCTCACTCCCCTCTCAGTGAGTTGCATAGCGATCATAGCGCGGATTCAAAAAGAAGTCAGGGGCTCTTACATGAGAAAAGCAGGCTGAACATGGCTGAACATCGTTTAACGGTTATACCGGGGTTGAAGATCAAGGACGCAGACGATCCCCCGAAGTCCCAGAAGCTGCCGGGCAGCTGCGACGATGTGGATCCTTGGAAGCTTGAGGACTTGACCGACATTGGCACGGGGGAGCCCTTGTTCTCCAAGTTCACGTGGGAGGATTGGATGCTGCTGGAGTTACGGTTTCAGCTGCATGCTCTTGTCCACGGGTACAAGCACGTCATGAACGACCCCGAAAGGGTCCGAGCCTTAACAGCGCAGAAACGGAGTACAAGTGCCTTTGTCGGTGTTGCGCACACACACACACACACACACCTCGACATCGAAACGTAGGCACAGAAGTGTTTCCAGAGCCCGTGAGCTTGCCAGGTGTCTTTCCACGAGAGCCACACGCAGTTTTATTTTGAGACGTTTTGGGGAAAGGAGTTGGCCCTTAGAGCGTACGGAGTTGAGTCGATTGCGGAGCTCCTCAAAATGGTCAGGGACACCATTGACGTTCTGCCGAACAACTCAGTCCTGGATGCGCAGCTGTCCGATGATACGCCTTTTGAAAATTTCGTGCGGCTGACAGAAGACTATCGCCGCGACCGCCTTCGCAAGCTCGATGCCGGGGATCAGACAGCGGCTCTACGCTTGCAGAAGCCTCAGGCGCCGCCGACTACACGCCAGTTTCAAGCTGACGATCGGCGACAGGGTGGAAGAGGCTTCGATCGCCCTGCACCACCGAGAAGCCACGCGCCACGTGCAGGTGCACCTCCGGCTCGAGGTGACTTGCGGTGGTCTGCAGCAAGTGAACGCGACCACAGGTCTAACCGAGGTGGGGAGAGCCGCAAAGATGCCCCTCGTGGGAATCGGCCCCCACCAGCACCTCCTGTGCCTCGGTCCCATGCAAGGGATACAGGTGGCGCGGGTCAGAAGCGGGCATATGGCCAAGGCCCAGGCCGCGATGACCGGGATCGGCACCGTGCATCACGGAGTCGGCATGATCGCGATGGCCGCGATGGCCGCGATGGTGGGCGGCACCAATATGCCCCACACAAGTCGCAGAGAACACAGGGCGCTGGAACCAATTCTCGCGGCCCCAGTGGAGGATATGGCTCATATGGCGGAGGCTACAGAGGCCGTCCCGGTTCCCGGGGCTGATGCCATCAGTTGTATCACCACGCGGGGGAAACCTCAGCAGATTAAATTATTCATGCCATGCGGTCGGATAGCTCTGGTTTGCTTGTGAGCGAGCCGAGCCTAGAGGAAGACTTGCTCCGCTTCAATGGAAGGCGTGTGCGGAGCAGTGCGGAGCATGCGCACGCGCGCTCCTGCGCATGCGTTGCTGGATGAAACATGATCAGCGATGATCGTCGGTAGAAAATCTCGCGTGCTGCGTTCAGGTTTCAGCTCAGTCAGTTTCCAGAGGAAAGGCTCTTTCAATCTTGCAAAGTGCTGCTACTTGTGGGGGCTAAGCCTTACTTGTCAAGTAAGCCAGTTTCCGAACCCAGCAGTGCTTCTCAGCTTCTGCACTGGCGCGACAATGCTACCAGCCCTTGCTCAGCGACCCGCTTCGCGCATCACAAGTATACAGCCTTTGAGGTGCCAGTGCAAGGGCAGCCGCCACTCCGGGGGCTGCGTGCAACCCGCCTCAGCGATGTGTTCGGAGTGCGAAAGAGGGAAAGTGGTTCACCATCAAAGGTCTTTGGATGAATGCTTGAAATTGCGTTTGGCGTGGGAATGTGGGGCATGCAATGCTTGAAAATCAAATCTCAAGTAAACGATGCAGCTGCTGGCTTGTCAGCCTGCCTGCTAACTGCTAACGTGAGGTCAGACTCAAGAATGCGGAGCCGAAGGCGAAGGCAGAATCACGGTTTCGGAACAGCAGTGGAACTTGCTTCCTCAACATTGCTGTCAGACCTTGGTCTTTGTTTGTGTTTTCGCTCAGTTGCATAGTATAGTCAAGTTCTGCCAATGGCGAGAGGAAGGAATGAAGCATCTTCGCTCACTGTGTGATGCAACCAAATGGCCAAACCTGTGGACACCTGTAGGCCGTACTTCGCAGTTCTTCAGCTCATGGTTTGCGAAGATTTTGCAAATAGAGACGTTGCTCTAGCTTGTCGCCTTGTGGCATTCTGAGGTCTTGTCCGTTTGGATTGCATCAGCCGCATCGCTAATCACTGTGCAAAAGGTCGAGTCTGATTGAATCACCTAAACATGGGCAAAGATGCCCTGATACATGTAAGCCGTTGGAGAAACAGTGGGCGGTTGTCTCAAGCGTTTCTGAGCCAATATTCTTTCAACTCTGATTCCACTCCGAGGGGTGGAGGCCGCTTTACGTGGCATAAAGTACCTCACAGAACCTCTGGCCTATACCCTGCGTCGGATACTTATCGGTCAGATGATCCGTCAGGTGGCTCCGCCAGTCGGATACTTCACAGGAGGTTTTGGCATGTTTTGGCTACAGGTCGCAGGGGTACGGGTAGTCATAGGCTATGGTATGGGGGGGCCCGTCTTTCAGATCTACACCGACCTATCTGCCCCACCCAGGGCAGGCCTTCGCATGTCCTCTCATCCGACACTATCCTCCCTCCTCCACTCGCGTTTTTGCTTGAGTTAAGGCAGCTTGCGTGTGGTGTACTCTGTCATCAAAGGGCGTGCTTGTGCTTAGTCCTCGTGGATGCTCCTGTGCGGGTTGCCACTGCCATTTTGGGCATAGGTACCAAAAATGTTTGAGAACATCAACAAGTTTGAGAAGCATCAAAAGTTAGTTTGTGTTTGCAAATGGAGGGGATTGTTCTAAGCCTTGCAATGCTTGCTGCAAAGGCATAATGAATCCTTTCCAAACATGCGAGCATCGTGTTTGCAAATGGGTGGATTGCGCCCCCCAAACCCCCCAGCTTGTGTTCAGATTGCTTTTTGCCGTGCAATGCTTGATTCAAAAGCATATGATTCCTTTCCAAACCCCGTCATGCGAGCATTGTGTTTGCAAATGAGGGGGGAGGGGTGCCCCTCCCCAAAGATGTCTTGGAATTGGGAATGCTTAGGCACTCTGTCTCCTCCTTCATTGCAGACTTACTGCTAGAGGATGATGTAGCACGGGATGGCTTAGCCATGTCTCAAATCAAAAGAAGCGAGGTGCCTGCTGCGCACCCACAGACCACCACTTGTGTTGTGTCTCTATCCATCTCTCTATCCTCTCTCTGTCTCTCTCTTTCGTTATCTTGTTCCCTCGCTGTCCTTCTCGCACACCATCTTCCAAGCGGGTAAGTTAAGGCGCATCTTCTTGTGTAAAGTCGTATCTCGGGCGCGTGCACACTGGGGATTTGCGAATTCCAAGATTGGTCAGAACCCACTTGCACCCCAAGCAGAAATCTCGTTCACGCTGACAAAAATGTGCTCCCCTCCCAAGCGTGCGGTGACAAGCACGTATTGTGCATGCGTGTCGAGAACATGCGCGTGCGGCGCGTGAACATTGAGGGAAAGGCTTCAACATATGTCTCTGTGATGCGACTTTACGCAGGGTGATGTGACTTCGCTCGCAGCCGCATGTCACAGGGGAGAGGTGACTTCACACGCAAAGATGTGAGTTAACCTAGCCCCTTGTAATCCTGCGTGCTGTTCGTGCGTGTGAGGCAACTTCGAAAGCCGCCCCAAAGTGGGAACAGGCCGCCAATTTCTCGGCAACGGCGATGCCCCTGCAGCACATAAAACTTCTCCACTGTTACTGTTGCAATCTATATGGTTGCAGTTCGATTGTCGAACGCAGTTGTCGGGTGTGGTCGTGTGGGCTGAGCATGGTTGAGATTGGTTGAGCCATGTGCAGCCTTCTCAACTTTAGTTCAGCAGTGATTCGAGCGGTCACAGTGTCTCGCAGGCCTGGGATCGGAACCGAATATGGAGCGCCAGCCGGGGGCTCCATGCAACATTTTTTGACGTATCTCCAGTGAACCGTATGGGGAGGCTTCCTGCGGCGTTGATGCATAGTTATCAACAGCACTCGCATTTTCCCCTGACTCAGGTGCACGCTTCAAGAAGGCCCTTCTCGGGCACTGGCTGCAAGCTTACAAAAATGTTCCATGCGCCACACAGGATGGCAGGCATGATGCACGGTCCATGCGCAGATGTCCCGGAGGTTCATTGGATTGTTTTGTCCATGCTTGGTTTGGAATGGCTTAAGGGTTCTATTCCCCTGTGGCATGGAGGGCACCAAGGCAAAGTTTCAAAGTGGATTGCTTGGACTAGACTGTTTGATGAGAAAGCCCCAGCTGACGACCCACACCGGCCCATGCGCTTCAGTTGCTGCAGTATTGGCTCAGATGTAGAAAGCCTTGACCAGAGCTTGGATCGACAAGCCAAGGCGCCGCACTTAGGGCATAGCATACTCGGGCATCCTAATGTTGCGGCCTCATGGTGAATTCCTCGATTCTTCAGCTGTGGTGGCCTCAAGTGTTGTCTGGTCGCCAGGCTCTTGTCATGGAAAATGACAACGTCAATGGGAGCATGAGAAGCTCCGCATCGGAGGTGGAGGAGGCCATGTTATAGTTAGTAGTCACTATGATGGGTCTCTGGCCATGGTTTTGCCATCTTGGAAGGCAGCACGTGCGCGCACAAGGTACATGCTTCTATACGTTCTCACCTGGTGAAACAACAGTAGCCGTGGCAAGTTTCGGGGGTACACATCACTCTTCAATCGTGCAGAACTGAAGGCCGAACGAGCTGAACAGTTGGGCATGTTTGACGAGGAGGAGTGGGTTCATGAGGTAGATCTTGGACATCCGCCTGATGTTGTACGGGCCTCGCAATCCTCGCAACATGCAGGATCAGCAGGATCAATGGACCGGTGGAGTGACCCCGGAGCGAACAGAGCGAATTGAGCTGGTGGATGAATCGCCTATGGGCGTGGTGGGCTCGGGAGAATATGTGCCTTGGCTGCCGGGACTTCCAGGAATCTCCTACGTTATGTCAAAGGTTCCCCGCAAGTGCATTCTCTCTACGGGCTGTCGTACCTGAGAAGAGTGCAGTCACCGACGAGAAAGCAGAACTGCACCACTCCTACGCCTGCTGTGATGGGGTCCGGGGCCTTCTCATAAGCTTGCCATGGGGGCTAAGTTGAATACTTTGACTAAAGTTAGATGTGCTTTGGCTTCATTCCAACCAAGGATTACGATGAGGAGGAGATCACTGATCCCGCGTGCCTGGAGGTCGCACCCCTTGTGACATCTCGAGAAGTCGAAGAGATCCCATTCAGAGTGCCCTAAGGTGAACACAGAGACCTTTGACGAGTTCCGACTGTCCCCAGAGCAGGTTGCCAAGGTGCAGGCTCGCAACCACTTCGCGCTGCCCAGAATTGCTGTGCAGAAGCTCACCTTTGTTTCCTTGCGCCTTGTGCGTGGAGTCTGTTACTTTGTGCAGGGTGGCTTCGCTCAGCTTGTAGAGAACGCGGGCTCGCCGGAAGCAGCAGGCGACGCTGTTTACTCCACACTCTTCGAGGCACATCGCTGTGCAGTGCATTTGGCATCATTTGGTGGCCGTGTTCCTCTTCGAGTTTGCAGCTGAGAGGCAGCTCCGAGCCTTCAGTCGCTGTGGACCACACCCAGAGCTGTCCTGACCTCATGTTCCGTATATGCTAACGACGTGTTTGTCCCGACCTCCCCCGACCTCCCCCCTCCCTCCCATCCCCCCCCCTCCCCCAAGATGTCAGAGGCTATGCTGCACGTGCATTGTGCACATGATGGCTTTAAAATGAGACACACGCAAAAACCGCGGCGCGGAGGGCGCGGGGCGCGCAGAAAAAGCAGAGCACATTGCAAGCTCAGAGGCCAAGTGGTCCTTGGCTTCTGTTGTATAGTGCCAGACTTCTAAGCACGACAACACACCGTGCACACGTGAGTGTTGTTGAATGTTGTATGTGCAACGAGGCGACAGTAGCATACCGTCGAGGTAGAAGAGCTAAAAAATTGCCACAACGTGCCACGACAGCGGCCTCGTCTGCTGGAAAAAGATATTTCCAAGCTCAAAGCAAAATGAAAGCCATCCAGCGGCATGCGTCCAACTGCAGTCCGCGGAGAAATGTTCAACTCGCAGCGCTTTCGGCGTGCGCAGAAGCGGCGTGACGCGTCTGAAGCGTCCAAGGACATCGCCCCCTCCCCATCCCTCCCTACCCCCTCCATCCCCTCTCCCCCTTTCCTTCCGACCTTGCTGCACAGGTGCAAGGGATGAAGTTCGCAGGCTCGCTCGCTCTGCTCATCTCCAAGCTCGCATATCCAGAGGAGTTCAAGACACTTGTGGATACCCTGGGGTTTCAGCACCTGACCACGGAGGTCACCATTCCACGAATTGAAGTCTTCCGAGATGCACTTGTAGAGCTTTTCGCTGCAGATCTAGGCGACCTTTTCACAATGGATGTTCGGATCTCGCTGTGCCGCATGTTCAACTACATCGGCGGTGCTTTCATCTACATCCGCAACAACTATTCCTCCCGCCTGAAGCTCATCTCGCATTGTTGGACGCTAGCCAACAGCCAGAAGAATGAGCAGGATGAAGACACGCAGGAAGAGAACGCAGAGTCCAATCTGGAGCACAAAGACGCGGAAAAGGAAAAAGGCCAGGCAAGCCTCAAATACAGTGACCCTGCTCCGGCCCGGGCTTTGATGAGAAGTTTTGTTTGCGCAATGATCGCGAGGCAATACATGGCATGCTTGTGCAGTTCATTGCTCGATAAATTTATCGCATGATGTGCGGAAACTGTGCTGCTAATGCGTTGCTCAAAGCACATCTCCCTAAGTGTGTATGTCTGACAGTGTCAGCTCATGAGCGGCTGCACACGTGGTGCCTTTGGTGGCCGAATTCAAACACTTGTGCAGTGATATCAGATTGTGACTCAGGGAGTAGACTGAGTACTCCCATACAGGCATTTTGGTTTGATGGGAGTGTGTGTGGCCAAGCAAGCCACAGCCAGAGATGGCCAGAGCCCACAGGGCAATGAGTCAAACGTGGCTCGCAAGACTTCCACTGACAACCTGACGATCTCCTTGGACAGAGCTAAAGCCATGTCTTTCAATGCGGCAAGCACCCATGCACGCTACCATAGCGCCAGTTCAGGGCGCCAGTTGGAGGATGACTACGAGATCTTTCCAAAGCGCGTGCTCGGTGAAGGCTGCAGTGGATTGGTGATCATGGCCAAAGGCCGCAAAGACGGGCGAAAATATGCATTGAAGCGGATCCACAAGCTGAAAGTACAAGCAAAGGTGCTGAAGCAGTTGACCGCCGAAGTGGAGATTTATCTCATGCTTGATCATCCACACATCGCCGCACTCAGAGACGTGTACGAGACGGAGGCTGAGATCGCCCTTCTCACTGAATGTTGCGAAGGAGGCGAACTTTACTCCCGGTTATCGAACTCCGGCACTTATGCCGAATCCGATGCGGCAGAAGCCACGCATCAAATGCTGCTTGCTGTCGGCTACCTCCATGCACATCATGTAGTCCACCGTGACTTGAAGCTGGAAAACTTTTTGTACGAAACACAGGAGTCAAATGCAGCTCTCAAGTTGATCGACTTCGGCTTCGCGAAGATTTGGGACCCTTCCACATTGATGTTGGCATCCTGTGGCAGCATAGCGTATGTCAGCCCGGATGTGCTCAAAGGGGAGGGCTACACCAGCAAGTGTGACTTATGGAGTCTGGGCGTGATCGTCTTCATGCTGTTTCTTGTATGCAACAACTGGATGCCTTCGCCTCATAGTTTTTGATCATGGCGTGTGTGTTGCGGTTCTGTCAACGGCAGGAAACACAACCGCAACAGCAGGGGTGGGCTTTTCATTCGCCCTACCCTAGTCGGCCCACCGCGGTGCTTACTCCACGCACAACTGCTTTTGTATGCGCCCATCCAAGTTCTGACCCAGCCAAAGGCGAATGTCGCAAAGGCAAGTTTCGAATTTGATCAAGAACACCTCCCTAAGCCTTTTCTCTACTCAGGCGGTCTGAATCGTGTGAGCACTAGGAAATCTGCGTCTGTCCACTCACTGGACGCAAAGTGGCTGTTCAATGCTGCTTAAGGAAAAGGACAAATATGCTCGCATCTCTGAAAGTTGTAGGCTAGGTGCCCATTCGGCCTTTCAAGGTGCAGCGATTAACGCCCACGCGCGGAGGTTTCCTGCAAGGCTGTTGAGCCATGAGCCTTTTGTTCCCCATCCTGCCCCCAGCCCTCCAAAGCATTCACAAGCTCACAGCGTCTGCCACGAGAGTCCCCGTATGTCCCTGTGAAATTACAAGGTGAAACGCCCAGCCAACGCTAACGCTTACTGTCTGCTCGCCTCCACACCAAGCTGCCCGCAAGCTTTCGTTGGCCCTGAGGCCCTGGATTAACACGCACGATCTCGGAGATTACATGATTTTTTCATGATATTACATGATATTTCATGATATTACATGATATTATAGATGCTTTACGGATGCCAGAGATGCCTAAGGTTGGTGGGCTACCCACCTTTTCATGGCAGCGAGAAGGACATGCGCACCAACATCTTGGCGGCCAGTGTCGACTGGAGTCACAAGAGCAGATGGCGCAAAGTCTCCGAGGATGCGGTGGATTTTGTGAAGATGCTCCTAGTGAAGGACCCCAAAGGGAGAATGGATGTGGGACAGGCTCTAGAACACAAGTGGCTGAAGCCTCGAAATCTCAAGGATCCGCATCCGGTTTTGGACCGAGATGCTCTTAGGGCACTCCGCCGCTATGCAGACACCTCGAAGGTCCGACGTGCGGTGCTGCAACTTCTCGCGCAAGAACTTGCGCCCGACGAAACGAAAGACCTTCGGGAGGTGTTTCTAAGCTTAGACAAGACCGGAGAAGGCACCATCTCCCTTGGTGAGCTAAAGCAAGCAATTCGTGGAGAGGTGGCGCCTGAAGCTACACCCGAAGCGGTTGAAGGTTCCTCTCCCAAGTCTCCGAAAACGCCAGCTGCTCGTCTCCGGCGGGCGAAGTCCGAAGTGATCGGGAGCCTCTTTGAAGTTCTTGACGCGAATGGCGACGAGCAGGTGTATTACTCTGATTTCCTGGCGGCAACTATGGATGTGCGTAAGCAGCTGCGAGAGGAAGCAGTGTTGTCAGCCTTCAACCGGCTTGATGCAGATGGCTCTGGGACAATCAGTCCTGACGATTTGCGGAAAGTCATCGGTGAAACTTTTGAGGGCGTCAACGTGGAGTTACTCGTTCGAGAAGCAGATGCAGCCTGTCGGGGAGAGCTGACTTTTCAGGACTTTTTGAGTTTGCTTGAAGCAACTGATGCCTCAGTATCTCCGACTGGTCGGCAGCGGGCCGGCATTCAGCCATCCTTCTACCTACAGCCTCATGTTGTGCCATGAGGATCGGGGCGCGAGATGCTCCTTGAGTTCATGGCACGTTTTCACTCGAATTCGCCCTAATGGGCTGGATTGAAAACTGCTAGAGTGCGTGCGACTTAGCACACACAGCAGAAGCAGTTGCGCGGAAACATCGCGATGGCATGCTGCACCATGAGGTTTTTGCTTGGGCTGCATCTTTGCAAGGGCGAGTTTGGATGATTTGGCTGGCTTTCAAAGACAAAGCCTGCGAGGCCGAGGCAAATCGAGACTCCTGACAGTCAAGAAGCCGGCTCAAGAAGAAACCAATCAGGAGTTGCTTGATTGAGCTCTTGGCGCCCTGTGCAAGTCTGAGTTTGTTAGGCCCACAGCATTCGTGTGCAGGAAGCTTCCATGGAGGAGGGGCACAGCAAGAAGGGCGCATCAGCTCGCCCGAGCCTTGAAAATGGACTTCAACATGCCCGAATCCATGACACTGCACCCATGATGGGGCAGCACCCATCACTCGCTTTGCAATCTGCACGAAGGTTTGACCAACAACAAGGTCCCGACAACATTTCCGGCCTCACGCCTGCACTGGCCGGTTGCGTCTGGTTATATTTCGTTACATTTCTTTCATGCTTGCAGCCCAGCTGCCTACTCATGCTGCTACATATGCGAACAGCCAGGAAATGTTCAGATTCAATGCTGGTGTCATGGGCTACAAGCAGCACGAGTGGATGCGGGAGGTCTTGCAGGTATTCAGTGCCATGGTGGAGAACTGCGCCGAGCCTTGCCTGCAAGTGGCTTGCTTTTCGCACGTGTGTCAGCACAACTGGTAGCGAACCTTGGGCGTGCCATATTCATGAGCCATGCAATGCCCAGGTGCCATCCCGCCTACTAGAAGAAGCCGACATTCTCTCGCTATCCCTTGCAAAAATTCCAGGCAAGATTGATCTCTTGGAGTTCAAGGCAGTTCCCGAGCTGATCAGCCAGACACGAGCGGACTCGCGTCCAGACAGACACACACACACACACACACTCACTCACGCACGCATTTGAACAAATCTTGAAGTGATCCCTGCTCACGCACAGCACGTAGTGTTCGAGCATAGAACAGGAGATGGATAAGTGAAGCCGTGTTATGTGTATAGTGTATCCTTTATGTGATTTATGTGTTAATCCGAGCTCCTGTTTAATTGGTGGGGGCCCCCCCCCCCCCCACAATAAGGAAAGCAGGGTTCCGCAATAGTTGGACCATGGCCCCGTATGGTTTCTCTATTAAAAAACAATAAGAACCTGCAGCAGAGCCAGGGCGAGAGGTGCAGCCTTAGCAGAAGAAAAAAAAGCTTTCCGAAAGGCAAAGTTTCAAAATTTGACAACCCCCCCCCCAAAAAAATTTCTTTAAATGTGGAGGGTTTGGCCCATACGAAATCCATCGTAATGGAAAGTAGTCTTCCGGCGGGAATCCGGGCAAAAAAAAATTCTTTAAATATGGGTGGTTAAATTAAACAGGAGCTCGGATTAAACATCATTGCAAGTTGGGAAAACTCACCAGGACGGATCGCAAGTGAAGGATGCTAGCTGTGGATTCAGGTTCTCGGAGGAAGGCGGAAGGCCAAGGTCTTCCTTAGCCGCCTCAAGGAACGCTAAAGCCTTTATGGCCCCCCAATGTCCCCACTTGAAGACTTCAAAGCATCCGCCACTGGGCGCCCAGCTTCTTCTCAGGTTATGCTTGCGTCATTGCGGTCACTTCTGCCAAAAACTTGGAGACTTTGCCAGCCCTTATGACCCTTAGGGCGGCAAGACAACTTCGGAAATACAGAATGCTTCATTCGTAGAGCAGAATGCCAGATTCTGAACAACTAGGAGAAATTTGACATTTTGTGCTGACTCGGGGCCACAAGCCGAGGAACTCAGAATGTGAGGTCGCATGGACGTGGCTGTGGGAAAACATTCAAAAGATGCTCAAGGCAAACTTGGGGAAGCCTCCGGTGCAGCAGAAAGCACTGCGCAAGTTCTTTATGAGTATCGAAGATGAGCAGCTGGCGGCCTATCGAACTTCGCTCTACACAACATTCTTTGGCAAGTGCGCGCAGGGTCAGGACTACTTCAAGCAGTCGTCAACCCGACTTCACTTCATCGCCGACCGAATGCTGATGTACACGCAGGATGTCTTTAAAGATCCAAAAGACGTCATGGAAAGCCTGTCAGCTTTGGGCCTGCGTCATGTGGGATATGGTATTCCCACAGAGCTCTTTGGCCCGTTTGTCAGTTCGGCCATCGAGTGCTTCCGTGGAATGACGAAGGACGAGCAACAGGAGGAGGCTTTTCGATGGTCCTTGAACTTGATCTCCCGTGTCCTTGTCAGAACAATCACAGAAGGGAGTACGTTGGTGATGCGGGCCATCAATGCCAACTGTGCCAAGATGCTGCGGAAAGCCGTGAGTTGTGCTCCCCGCGGCCTCCGCGCGGAGTGGATGCTGAAAGTACAGGTTGGCACCCAGTCCATCTCGCCCCTTCTGTGGAGCATTCAAAGCGGAAGCTTGGAGGCAGCGCAGGCCATCCTAGTAGATTTGCTCACTATCCGGGCAGATCGGGACCACTACTACTATGCAATGGATGCGCTTTTCAATCGGCACCCCGACATCGTCCGTCGAATAGGAGAAGATGGCCCTGAGCTTCTTCCCACGCTGCTGGATGGCCTCATCTGGCGGTCCCGAAACACGAGCAACGCAACGCGGCGCGTGAATTTCTTCATCAAGTACCTCGTTGTGGATCCTAAGAACGGTTTCTCGCAGTCCTTCCGGGATGTCGTGGCCCACGGCAGCCCCTCCATAGCGTGCCATCCCTCCGTGGTCCTTGCGGCAGACATCTTGTGGTCCAATGTGGTGGCCTACACCTTTTTGAAAAGCAAGCTGTGGTTTCTTCTCAACCTGGTGGTCTTCGTAGTGACCATGGCAATCTTGACAGATTACTCGGACACCGCCTCGTCGGCATCGCTCTTGGGCATGTTCATCGGGCGAACCTTCATGTATGTCTTTGGCCTCGGGCAGCTCGTCACTCGTCATTTTTTCCGCATCTTCCGTGCTTGCCGGAATAAGGAGATCGCGAGATATTATTGCTTCCCAATCCCGAGCTACTTGATCCACTTCTCCGAGAGCTTGAGCATGTTGCTGTGCCTCTCCCTTGGGGTCATGCTTTGCCAAGAGCCTGTGGTGCACTGCCTGGGCATGCACACACTCAGTGATGCGCAGTTTGCTCAGTTCGGTGGTCAATGCGCGGAAGCAGCGGCCTTGATTCCAAGCTATTCCAGTTTTGCTTTCCTGGCAACCTTGGTCTACTTCTTGTTGCTTTTGGATCTGACGGTGTTCTCTACCAAGCTTTCGACATTTGTCTTGGTGTGTGGACGCATGGTCCAGGAAGTGGCGCAGTACTTGTTCGCGCTGTCATTTGTGGTCCTGACATTTGCATGTGGTCTGGCCTCCTCCGACGTTGCCAACGAGCATTTCTCAGAAATCCTGCCGGCAATGCTCAGCTTGTCACGAATTATGCTTGGTATGTTTAGCAGCGAGGAGTTCCAGTACTTAGAGGAGGAGCCCAAGCTGTTGCTCTCCGTGAGCATCTTCGTGATTTGCACAACTATCTTTTTGTTGAACCTCCTCATAGCACAGCTGAACTGTGCCTACCTTGGCATTTTCAAGGACATGCTGGGCTATGCTCGGTTAAACCGAGGTTCTGTAATTCTGGACAACATACCACATGTGTCACAAAAGCGGTGGAAAGCTTTCGTGGATTCATTGAAAATGGATGAGACACCTGGCTGAACTTCTTCGAACGAAAAGCATCCGCAAGAAGGAGGGGAACGCTTGCCGATGAGTGTACTAAGTAGAAGCAGTAGCGCATCCAGAGAAAGGCGACAGCATGAACGGGTTTGTCACGGTTTGTCCAGATCCCAGCTTTCATCTCCCGCTAAGGAAGCTCGAGTTCAGTGAAGGCGACATTGGCATTGCTGGTGGATTGCAAGTCCTCGAACCTGCCAGCGCCAACCCGGTAACGACTGACTCAATCAAACGACGCCCTGCGTAAGCCGGCCTCAACGCCTTACCCTATAGGACGGCTTTGGCATTCTAAATACCAGGCTTGATGCTGTGACCCAAGAATCAGTTGAGAAGTAAGGCAGGACCATGTAAAAGTTTCGCTAAGCAGTAGCCAAGCCCAAAACATGCCAGCATGTGATGTTGAACGTGGCAAATAGGACATCAGATTGTGTTTTCCAAGGATATGGTGGATCCACATCACCAGATTGCCAGTGGCCCGAGACGGCCACCGATTTAGACTCGGAAGACAAAATCGACAGGCTCGAAAAGATCATTGACAAGGCAGTGAAGAAGATCATCAAGGGGACGAAAGCCAACAAGGCGCGAGATTAGGAGTAGCATCACAGGAATAGATCGCAGAGAGAGGCATGTTCAAGGTCAGGAAAACAAATTTTCAAGACATACCGTTCCTCTCGACAGGGCTCGTCGGGCTCATCCAATTCCCAGTTGGCCGGCACTTCGTCCTCGCTGGGCGAGTCTATGAACGAGTAGTTTCAGCATGGCCGCGTGGACCCATGCTTCCTGGAATTTCATATGCTTTGCTGCTTTACTGTGTTGCCTAAGCCAACTCAATAGCTCAGCATGGACGCTACCATCTTCATCTTTGAACGAAGGGATCTGGCATTGGCATGCCCACTAACCGCGAGCGCACAGAACAGATAGCATGCATGGCCATGCATGGCCATTCCCTATCTACTTACGTCTAGGATAGCCAAGGCTTCTGGTGGAGAGACCTTTGGCCATTCCGGCCTCCTACGATTTTCAAAAGTGCTTGGATGCTGATGCGTTGACGCATGCCAGCCAGTTTCCGGTTTCCGAAGCAAACAAGTCTTTGTTCCTCAATTTCAAGAGTCACGGGTAGAAGGTGCGAACGAGCCCGCCTTGTTCCAGCACTGACAGCAGTGGACTCTTGGAGCATTGCTGTACCACAGTCAGAGGCCCGCGCTTGGGCACACTACTTTTTCAACCTACCATGGGTTTCTGTGCGGCGTTAAGGTGTGTAGCGTGCGAATCAGCGTGCGAATTAGCGTGCGAATGTAAGGGAGAGTACACCGCAAGAGAACCCCTGCAAGTTTAGCAGGAACTCGTGCCTGGACCATGCTGAAAGAGTGTGGAGACAATACCCACCGAGCTGCACGTTTGAAACTTTGAAACCATATTTCCCTACTGGATTGAATGGTGAAGCCACACGAGGCCATTAATTCTTGGTTGGCATGTGATGAGGGTTGGTGCAGCCAGCAGGGTGGATGCGGGCACAGGGTGCTGTGTCTCGGTAGTTTGAAGGCCCGGGCTGAAGAAGGCCCGACAGTGGACCCAGCCTCCACTGAGGCGTACACATGTGGCGTTCGGCCCATCCTTGGCTGGTGAAGTTGCATCTTCGACGCCTGCGAAGCAGGCGCAGTGTAAACACATTCCCTCAGCCCCCTGCGGCTCCTAAGCGAGCACGCAGAACTGGCATAAAAACGCCACCCGCCGCCCGCGATTAAAACAGGAGGAGCGGGTACTGTGTAGAGAGTGTAGTGTCCATGTTCTGTCACATTCCGCCGGGCAGCACGATGCACAGCAACCCGTCCTAGAGCCATTGGGCAAAGCTGATGTGGCCGAGGAAGGGAACGAGCATAATGGGGGTACCACAGTCGTACGAAGTCGTGGAGGCTTTTGGCGGCGGTAGCTGTCAGCTTTGGGTTGCCCTTGAAGCCTTTGCACGTGCAAACAAGTCGACGAAAGAGCTTCAGGAGAAGGGTCAGCTGTGGCCGGGTGCCTATCCGAATACTCGCCGAATATGATTCCGTTTTGTTGCCAGCCGCAAGAGGCGGCAGCCACTGGCGCCCTGTTCCATTCCAGCGGGTTTGTGTCACTTTGCCAGTTTGTGTATCCAAGTGACTGCTTAGGTGTAAGACCACAAGGCAAGGGCGAGCGCCCTCCTGGAAGAGAATAAGTGCCTTTGCTGCTCACTTCCTGTCTATTAATCATATGATATGCCTGTGAGCCATGTCTACGAAGTATGCGTCAAGTGGTCACAAGAGGTATTCGTCGAAACAAGGCGACCTACGGCACCGGCGACATGAGCCGTTGTCTCAAGCTCCTCCAAATTCTGCAGCAGATATCATGTCAGCGGCCAACTTTGCACTGCTTTCCAATGCCCCAGGTCTTGACTTTAGTGCCGTCAAGAAGCAGCCAGAAAAACTCGTTTGGAGGTCGCAAGAAGGGATTGGCTCTCTCAGATCGCGGGAACTCCGTAGTTCTGCTTCACCGTTTTACTTGCCAGGTCAGAGAGCAACTGGAAACATGCCTTTACTTGGCGACCGCGACTCAGATGCCAGTACTCCTAGGTAGGCCAAGTTGGCAAAAGCGGTGAAGCAATCAAAAAGACGTCCTTCTTCATGTCGCGAGTTCTGGTATTGAAGGGCACCACAACAAGTGTTCTCATAAGTCATAAGATTAGTTTTCATTAGTGTGGTTTTGTGTGCGTATCTAAGAACGACAATGCTAGAAAATAAATGCATGTATATATATATATATATACATGTTATCATTGTGTTTCAGCTTCCCAGAGCACAGAAAAGCCAGGTTGGGCTAACTGGTCCAGACGGTGAGTGCGGTTGGCGCAAGCTAAAAGGACGCACGGAATGTGCAAGCACAGCATGGGCTCGACGTGGCTCGACGATTTCAAAGGGTACGATTGAGCGCGCAGCAGCTGTCTCTTCCACAGCCCAAAGAACTCGGCTCGATCAGTAATTGGCAAGGTTGTAAGCACGTTGGGGTTCTGCCAGGCACAGATTGCAAGTTATTTCGTTGCATCATGCACAACATTCCCCGGTTATCGTCAGGTAGTTGCGCTTATCCCCGTTGAACAGGTGGAGTCATATAGCATTGGCTTGCAGGCACAGTACAACGTACCCCATGCTTGTCATCACGAAACCAGAATCTCCTAAGCAGCAGTTCCACAGCATCGACATCTGGCAAACGATGGTAGTGCTGCCATCGGTTCTCCGCGCAGTTTGCTGTTTCAGCTCTTTCACTGCAAGGCAGCCTCAAGTTGCTGAGATCGTGCAGCGACGGCCAGCAGGGAAACTTGTAGTTTTAACGCTACGCAACTCGCCTCGGCCTGGGGGCGTGCAAAATACAGGGGTGGAGGGGATGAGGTGGGGTGTCTGCTTTGTGCTACCCAGACACCTATGGCCCAGGCCTCGGCGGATCGGGAACCAGAAATCCGATCGAACCGGAATGGCAGTCAAGGCTGAGCATGCAAAGGTAACCCGTGATTGTTTTTGGGTTAGCGGTACGCTTGTCCAACGGTTACCCGCAAAGACGGAGACGTTATTGGTGGTGACGTGGGGGTTGGACGAATCTCATGGCCGAATGACCCGAATGCCACCCCAGGCAAAGCTGGCAGCTCATCGCGCTGCGCCAATCCTTTTGGTAGTTCCGCCCCAGGTTTCACGCCAGGTCCCAGAGTTTCGTGCCAGGTATTGCCAGGTCGTTAGAATAAAATCGGTTCGCATGTCTTGACCACTGTTTGTTTTCAGGCGAAAAGCACTTTCAGCGCTTGGCTTCAAGCACGTGTCTGAAGAACATCACGAAGGTCCTTATACAAGGAATCGGAGCCTTTGTAAGCTGTTCCAAAGGGCACCCTGAATGTTTTTTTCGCCGGGCCGGCTTGTCGCATACTTGCACTCATGGCACACTCACCCATGTCAAATGAGGTTTTAGGGTGGCCTGGGCTCGGCGTGCTACACGATTCTAGGACGTCGACTGGCCTTTGCACAGACGCGACAAGAGGGATGGAACGCGAGTTTTGGGCTATGACAGCTAGGCGGGTGGCAACAACAAATGTTTTTTTTTAAAACACGGTTCGAGGATGCAAAAAGGCTATGGGCGAAGCAACCAGGCGTGAAGCTGTTGAAGCACGGCTATAGCCGTCTATGGCTTCCATGATCGCATCTCCCGACGCTTCTGTCTGAGCCGCTTCGCTCCCTTGCACGCAGCCGCCAGGGCATGAGCGCCGACCTTCACCATGGCCCACCGCGCAGCTGCAAGCTTAGAAATGTTTCTTGCCCGAGCCGAAGAGTCTTCAGACACATCGCATTCTCAGCCATCAATCGTATGAGCCTGCAGCGTGTCGGGTTCAAGCTGGGTGGTCAGCTGCCCACTCGTCATGTCGCGAGAAGAGGAATCCAGACGGGCAGAAGCGGAGCTGAATAAGCTGCGCAAGCTGCCTGAGAACAAAAGATGTGCAAACTGCTTCACACCTGGCACTCCGGCGTTGACTGCTGTAGTGGTGCCCTTCAAGATCTTCGTGTGCAGCAACTGCAAATCTGCCCACCAGGCCTTCTCACACAGATGCAAAAGCACGCAGATGAGCTTGTGGACTATGGATGAGGTACGTGCATTGGAGGAAAGAAACGGAGGAGGAAACAAGGTTGCACAAGAAACTTTCTTAGCAGGTGTGCGAGATGACAACAGACCCCGAGAAGGAGATAGCCTCGACAGGTGCAAGGAGTTTGTGAAGAGAGCCTATGTCGACAAGATTTGGATGCAAGGTGCCAGAGACCGGGAGCCTGCACGGGAGCCTGCACGGGAGCCTGCACACCGGGAGCCTGCATGTGAGGAGAGGTCCAGGCCAAGATCAAGCGCGGCCCAGTCCCGACCACAGGGCGTTGACAGACCCAGAGATGCAAAGCCAACGGCTGCGCCAAGTGTAGACCTCCTCTCAGACATTGATCAGCCCGTTGCGCCGCCAACGTCACAACACAGCCCTGCACCCGCACCCACAGCCATTCAACAGCCTTGTCTGGGATTTGATCCAAATGCCAATGCCCCCCAGGCAAGCAACAATCCGACTCGTACTGACTTCCTGAACTTTGACCCATTCACAACTGAGAGCAGTGCGGCTGCGCCATGCCTGGGCCCCAATGGTCCCAACGCAGAGCTGGCTGCCAGCAACAACCAAATCCCGTTCTCACCGGCTGGTGCAGTCAGTGGGCAACAAACAGGCTGCTGCAATGGCTGCAACGGCTGCAACGGCTGCAGCGGTCCCGAGCAAGGCCCAGGTGGGCTCAACTTACCGTATTTGCCCAGCCCACAACCACAGCCAAGCTTCGGCAACTGTGGCGGCTGTAGTGCTTGTGAAGGCAGCGGTATCAGCGGTATCCACCCAGGCTGTGGTTGCAGTGGACTCAGTGGATGCTGCGGTTGTGGGTGTGGCCCTGGTGCTGCTTGTGGAGGTTGCGCCGGCTGTGGCTGTTTTGGTTGCGCTGGCTGCCCTTGTGGATGTAATGGTCTGTCCGGATGCGGACATCAAATGTGTGGTGGGTGCGGAGGCTGTGGAGCTTGTGGAGCTTGTGGAGCTTGTGGAGCTTGTGGAGCTTGTGGAGCTTGTGGAGCTTGTGGATGCGGGTGCAATCAGCCCAGTGGGCTTCTGCCACCCAACTGTGCAGGCAACAGTTGCCACGGGCTCGGCTGTACCGGCTACAATGCCTATCCCTGCCCAAACGCCTGCAATGGCTTCGCAGGGTGCGGGTGCAGCCCCGGCAGCTGTAATTCTGGCTGCTCTGGCTTCAACCCAAACATGCCGAGCACGGGGGCTTTTGGGCAGGGATGCAGTGGGATGACAAATGGAGGTCTTGGAAACAGTCCAGCAAAGCCGCCACCTCCAACGTTGGCAGACTTGAAACAAAATTTGCAGCAGCTCTATGCATCCTGAGTCAGCCAAAGAGAATGTTGGTTCTTGTTTGCAGTCAGCTTCCGATGCATGGGGGTTTTGGCCTGTGAGTTTTGGCCACTGTCGCTGAGTGCGGCAGGCAGCGTCATGGGTCCAGATTGCCTAGCGTCTCGCTCATAGGTTTCACAATCTTTTGCACGGCCGTCTCCCTAAGCGGAGGCCTTGTCATCCCCTGTAGTCAGGACTCTCAAAAAGCCGATTGTCTGTGTTTCTGCATCTCAATGTCGGCCATGTGGAAAGCCACTGGCCACAGGAGGCGGGGAGCCAACGCAGGTGGCAGATTGACACATGCGCACATCGGCCATGCAAAGCTGCAAAGCTGCTCGGCTGCTTCTCCGAAGATGTCCTAGAACTATAGATGAGCGAAATGTCCGAGAGCTGCGTCTGTCAAAAGATGCCCGCTGCCTGAATATGCAGGCTCAGGGCACACGGCATGTCCAAGCATGCTATCATATTCCATCACTATCCCTGGACCCCCAGGCAGCCTCGAACTGCAAGCATGACAGGTCAAGGCGCCTCGACCTGCTTGGGTCCAGAGCCAAGCCTGCAACGGCAGTTGCAAACAAAAGCCCTGCTGTCTGTGCCCGGATCTAGCTCTGCATCTGGGCAGTCGGCGTTAGAGGCAGCAGCAGAAGCTGGCTATTTTTCTCGCGCAGAAGAACCTGGCCGCGTGGTGGCGCCCCCAGGTTCAGCCCTTCAAAATGCTTCGTCTTGTCGCAGCAGGCCAGATGCAGCTATGTACTTCGTCTTGCGCCCTCTTGCCTTTCGTCCCGAAAACTCCGTGTATAGTGTAATTGACGACCTCCACGAAGTTGTGCTGTCTGTATCGGTGGTTTGTATGGCGGGGCGGGGGGCGAAGGGGCCCTTTCAAGTTCAATGCACCCAAACAACAGCATGGCAAAACGCAGCCAGTACTTGCGGGGCTCAGCAGAAAGAATCGGAGAACGTTCGCACAAGGGCGTTGAACCTTCGCCTAACCATTCTGGGGCTGGCACACCTTCGCGACAGAAGGTTTTTGTGGCTTCGTAATAGTTTTGCATTGCAAACGAGCCGTGCCTTCGCAAACCTTCGCGGCCTTTTGGGCTTCGCGAACCTTCGCGATCTTTCTCCCGCTGGCCCCCAACCGCAGCGACCGCATGAGCTTCGTCTGCTATAACTGAATGTTCCAGATATTTCCAGATGGTCGCAGCAACTCAGAGCATGTTGCATGCAGCTAGGTGGCCAGTGGAACGCAAGTGCGAACAGTTCCGAACTGAACTCAGAGCCGACTGCTGGTTTGGTGATGGCTTTTGCTGGTAGCTGGTAGAATCTTGTCTGAGTACGTCTGAATTTTGTATGATTGGGGTGCTTATTGGACTCGCACAGCTTCTTATTTGGCAATACTTGGCCTAGTGTTGATACCAGTCGAGCGGGCATCAGCATGGCATCAGCACATATCAGCACGCAACGTCAAAACTGTTTGTGGCCAAGGTCTGCCACCTTTCCGACAATCGCAGCTGCAGCGGGACCTCTCAGCTGCACAGAAGCCCCATGATCACCATCACAGTGTTCGCGAGGTGATGGACCATTCATGCATGTGTCGTTTCACTTAAACGTCCATGGCACCCGCAACATCATGCTTGAATGCAGCTGGTTCAAGCGTGGTTTAGGCTTTTCCAGAGTTAGCCAATATTCTCGACATCATGATCCTTCGGACCGGGTACTCAAGAGGTCTTCAACGATCTTTGACAACTCGTTTCTAACGCACACTCGCTGGACACAGACATGGCTGCGGGACATCTCCGGCTGCTGAAAGTCCCAAGGTAGCTGAGACATGCTGAGAGAACAGAGAGAGCTGTAAGGGGTGTTTAGCAGGAGGTGAACAGCTTCTAGAGTTGCACATGGTGGACTGTTCGTGTTATGCAGGTGGCTGTCGGAGGAGTGGCTCAAGTCCAAGCCCCAGGACATCGTCGCGGATCTGGATCTCGATGCCGTTCCGCACTTCAGCGTTGTAGGTTCTTCTCACTGTGTGGCCAGCAGCTCTCAAATTGTGACCCTGAAGCGAGCAGTGGGATGAGATGGTGTGGAAGTGTATGGAACGAGAATGCAATGTGCTTCTTGCAAGCAGCCAAGCAGCCAAGGACCAAGGAATTCTTCGGTTGAACTCCACGCGAGCTGGGCGAGCTGGGTGCCCGACGACTCTGCGAGTCGAGCGCCGACCTTCCCCGGAGCTCTTCAGCTTCTGGCAGCCCTTGGATGGCTCCGAGGCCTTGTTTGCCGAGTTCGAACATTTCTCTCTTTCTCTCTCTCTCTCTCTCTTTCCTTCACTCTGGTCCCTCTGGTCCCTCTCTGCCTGCATGGCATGCCTTCAGTGTGGGAAAAGCGTGCCCTTGCGAGTTCAGGCCCCGATAGAGGGGATTGCAGAGGCTCTGACGGTGCGGCCGGACCTTCGGGACCAAAGCTACCGGAGCCTCCTCGACCAGCGGAAGGAGGAGGAGACGGCAGCCTCGAGCCGTCGCAGCCGCCACGAAGAGCGCCTCATCCAAGGAGATGAGCGGCCAGCAGTGGTCAGGGCAACAAAGCCTCCCGCAGAGGGGCCGGGCGCTGCTTTGCAAGATGTTCTGGCAGTGGTGGAGAAGGCATTGCAGAGTGCGGGGACTTTGGGGCTCACAGGGTTGGAGCTTTTTGAGCGCTTGCCCATGGGCGGCTGCACATTGGCACAACTCCGGGATTCGCTTCTGGCTTTGGCCATCCCAATCCAGGCAGAGGATGGTGCCAGACGTTATGCCGCCTGTCGGATTGTTTGATTCCCAAGGCTTTCCCTTAAACACCCCCGCGGTGCCTTCCGCGCTACTGTAAGTACCGCCAGATTGGCTAAATCCCGCGCCTCGCTGGGTAGCATTGGGCGCGACATTGACCAATTCGCTGTGGAAGCGATACCTAACCGGACCTAACCCCAACAGCGATTTACTCGGATCCCCCAAAGCAATACCCTCAATGAAATGTCTCAGTCATGGCCTGTAGGGTTTGCCGCGCGCTCAAAAACCGCTACCCCTCAACTTTTGCCGTTTCAGTCAGCTGCCGAATGCTAAGGTGTATGCCCCATGCATGGGGCGAAGTCGCAACGGGCAGATGACGAGATGGTCCCAAGAGAATGGCGAAGAAGCCAGTATCACAACTGGGCACCTCCGAAAGCGCGCTCGAACAGCAGTTGGCTGAGTCACACTGGCGCCTGATGCAAGTAGATCCGCCACCCTAGCCCTGCTGGGTTGAGGCGTTAAGGATGCAGCGTTAGTGACGAAGACATCGTGAAAGTCTGAAAAAGGTCACCCGCAGGGGCACGGCGCCAGTTCTTGTTCTTCATTGGTCCCAGATGTCTCCAGACAACTTGAGCGACAGAAGTTGCCAGGTGTCACTAACTAAATGTCTGGAGCTGATGGTCTTTATGCTTGAATTGCACACAGCTGAGGTCCAGACATCCAGCACTGTTGAGCAGGTCCTCGTTGGGCCTCAGTGGACCAGGATTGCCCCGCTCCACAGCAGCTGCATCTAAACAGTCTTCCATATGTCCAGAAGCTTAGAGCACGTACTACACGAGTTTGTAGTGTGCTGTTGAAAAGAATCGAAAAGAATTGCCACATCCACTTTTGGCATGCCCAGCATTTCAGTCCTACCGCACGAATTCAATCACATCATCTCTGCAAGTTCAGCTGGCGATACTTGCTATGAGTGCACTAAGTGGAAGTACGCACCCAGAAATTTGCATACGGCATATGTCTCAGCGTAGACAGCCGCTAGATTCTTGATATTCTTGCGCAAAATAGTGATCTCAGTCCGGTCTCAGCCCATGCTGCTCTGAATGAGATGGGTAGAAAGCGGCCAAAGGAGGATGCAGAGCTTTGGCCAGACAGCCCCAGTGATCAAAGTGATCAAGGTCCGACCGCAAGTTGGGCTGAGGCCGTGCATTTGGATGAAGTGAGGTGCACAAAGACGCTGCCGGGCCATGTCGGCTGTTGGGGCTCTTTACGTCATGGTGTGAATGCCTTGGACAGCAGCTCCTGTGCCAAGCTTGCGTGGGCCTCCCGTGGTGCGTACCATGCTGTTAGAGAAGCAGCTGCTCTGCGAATCGTGCTAGGCCTCGGCCAGGGATGCATCAAAACTGATTTAGCTTCTCAGCACCTTGCGAATCCGGTGCTTGCGCTGAGCCATTTGGAGTCTTTGGCCAATTCCCCATTTCTTTTTGATTCCTTGCGTGGACTGCTTCGATGTCTGCTGGAGTCCTGCAAGGACGACTCTAGCGCAATCTTGCTGGAAGCTCCGCCTGAGAACGATCGCCTCTGTGATTTACTGTGTGAACACGTCCTTGAGATGGATGCATGGAGCCAAGATGGGCCAACAGGCGAAGGTGGGGACGCCGTGCTCAACGCACAACTCCGCGCTTCGACCGTTGCTCGCCTGGCCTCACTGATGTATCAGTACACGCCACCAGACGAAGTAACGATGCTCGAAGGGATGCTGAGTCAGATCATGGCGCCTGCTAGGCACCTTAAGGTGGACGCAGCTTCCATCCTCGAGCGTGGTGGTGCAGCCGCGCAGCTGGTGCATGGACTCCCCAACTTGCTGCCAGCGACGAGGACGTTTAGGAGCTTGGCCTCGAAGACGAAGAAAGTCCCTGCTGCCAAGCTGATTTGCCAACTGGTCGAGCGCCTCTTATTCCCCTCAGCAGAAGCTAGCATCATCCTGCAGCTGTCGCTTCCTGTTGACAGAGCTGTTAGCCGTCAGCTTCTGCACGGACAGACCACTTCGTTTATGCACAACCTGCACATCTTGCAGGGCGAAGTGTGGAAAGACCCTGACAACATGGGCTCGTTGGACATTCTGGTTATCCAGGCAAAGAAGTGCTATATCCTCGTTTTCGAAAATTTTAGCGAAAGGTGAGCACAACGAGGCTCCACATCACGATTGTGACTTCGCAGAAGCTGCAAAGGAGGGTGCACCATGGTTTCTGGACAGTCCCTCTATTTGAGCCAGGTGGTGCAAGATGAACTAAGGTGCTTGATGAACTGCTTCAACCGCAAACTGCGGAGCTGCATGCGGTAGCTCCCAAGCACCACATGTATGGACTATGCAGAGGGCATGGTAGGCCCTGTGTCGAGATCAAGTTTTAATGGACAAGCCATTGCCTTGTTGATGCCCTGTGGCGCAACCTCGGAGGCCATGTGCATGTGAACAGGGATGCGCACATGTTATCGGACATGCGAAGACCAACACGTTTCCAATCTCTGAATGTTTTAACTATCCCAGGGCCTAGGACGTGTTTACATGCCGGAACTAGATAAGGTACGAATCCTGCCTGGAGCACGGGCCTTACAAGAATCTTGACTCTTTGCTAACCCACTTGGATGGCACCCATGAGGCCTTGCTGCAGTTTCTTGAAGCGTGCAGGTATACCAGGAGCAGCTTTGCATTACAGAGCCTGCCTATTGCTTAGCTCTCCTATAGATATGTTCAGCAGTCGGCTGCGAAGTTGGATCTAATTCAGAATGGATCATTCATACCAAGGTCGTGTTGGTGGGCGCAGGAAAGGAGCTTCCAACAATTTGGGGCGGGCCAGGGCCCTACTTGCAGCCGCGGTGGAATGAAGGAGTACTGGGTGTGCAAGTGTCGTCGTGGTTAGCAGTGCTGGGATTATTGCCACTGACCACCAGCAGGTTTGTTCAGGAAACAGATGGAAATAGCCGATTGCCGGTTTCAGTTCTCAGCTTCGTAGTGACATGAAAAGTCTGCAGGCGCCAGAATGGTGTCCCATTCTGCTTCCACCAAGTCGCGCGTCCCGATATGTAAGTACATGATACTCTACATTGAAATTTCCATGGGCAGTGCAAGACTGCAATAATGCACTCAAATGAATGTATGTTGCACACCCCGCCCTAGCCCCTAGCAGCCGCTGGCCGCAGATGCCCTGGCACTGCGGGCCTCAGTTACTGCACTGTCATCACTGTCATCATCGCGCTAGGAAAGATGGAGTTGTTGTTTCGGGCTCTGGTGCATCGGCATGCGTCCGAAGCCGAGTTCAGAAAGTGCCTGAAAACTTGCTTAATTTGTTTGTAGTGTTACATTCATGCACTCGAACTCTGAGGCCCTGAGGCATTTGAGATTCTGTGCCGAGCACTGGGCCCCAGACAATTTGGCCCTGGTTTTCTCTCAATCACCAGCCAAATCCGACCCCCCTCCCCCACCCTGGGTTTTTAAAAGGCGCTCTGTTAGTCCAGGCTCCCTGTGGGGAGCATGAGCCAGCGCGTTTCAGCCGTCATCTTTCGAGCGGTTTTTGCAAAGGTGCATCTCCGCAGAGGTATCCCACTTCTTAAGGTCTTGACCACAAGTAAGAAGTCCCTTTACTAGGTACGATGATTTTGCATTCCAGAACTTTGTCGGCAGTAGTGGCAGACTGAGCGGGGGACGGAGTGAGGCACAAACTGCAGCATCAGGAACAACAAGTTTGTTCCAAGAACGGTTGTGCACAACTATGTTTTTAAATATTTTGCGTCTTTAAATACTCCGTTCTTCTTGTAACATGTGTGGAAATAGTATTTAATAAATATTTTTAGTTTTTAAAAACCTTGCTCGTGTCAAAAACGCGCTGCTGGTCCGCCATGTTTGCCCTGGAGTTCGCTCGTAGCACCGTGTGTCAGTTTGGGGGGTGCGGAGTGCCTCTGAGATATGTGTTGCACAGGCGGTCGATGCCGACAGAGTCATTGTCTGGGGTTCCATTCTTGCAGTCTTGCGCAGTTTGGGGTGAGCTCATGTTTGTTCGTTGCAAGCCAGTTCGGCGCGTTCCTGTGGAAGTTACACTCGATTCTATCGCCCATCCAAATTTCCTGAGCAGGACGCTTGTTCCAAATACCTTCTAAAAGGCCTTAAGTGGGGGACGGGGGTCGGATTTCTGCGGTTACTCAATGCTGATAAATGCACGAAGAGAGCACTCGGGCACGAAGCAGGGTAAGGGGAAGCTTCGCTTGTTTCAGGCCGAACAGTCATGCCTTGACTGCCTGGTACTGAGATATGTACTTCGAGGTTACCTTCCACACCGCTTCCACCGGTTTCTGTTTTACAAACTTAGCCAGTTTGCAGTATGCGCAGGACTCCTATGTGCAAGTTGGAACTGGCAGTTCAGGTTAGCAACTCCAGCCCGCTCATAGAAGGCTGCGAGATTGTTGATGTCTTAGATGCGATGTCTTCAGCTGTGGGCAAGCGGCTGTGATGGTGCTCTCCCAAAGAGTGGCCATAGGAAGATATCCATGCATGGCGGGGCCGAGGTCGGATCATCAGGCAGTCCTGCCAGGGGCGCTCCAGCAGGGCTAGAGGCGCGAGAACATGCAATACACAGAAATGCATTGACCGCTTGCTTGCAAGGTCAGAGGCGAGTCCTGTCCAGTTCAGCCCTTGGTTCAGCTTTTGAGTGTATTTGGGTATGTTAGGGCAGCCCCGAGCCAGCACAGGTCATCCGCGAATGCCGTGTTTTCGACCATGCAGGAAATTCTAGTTCTTGACCGAAGCTCATCACCAAATTGCCTCCAACAGTCCAACAACGCCCGAATGCGCACGAAGCCGCAGGAGCTGGAATAGCTTTCGTTCACGGCGCTCACGGTTTGGTCCTGGACTTGGACTGCCTTTGAGTGCAATGTTGCAGAGAACTTAGGCATGCTGATTTCAGAAGTTTCTGAAGAAACGCGGTGCTGGACTTGAGCTCCAAGCCACAATGTGCCGTTACATGACGATCCACAGCACACGAGCTGCCTCGTCATGGAGGGGCAGTGTATGACACCTGTAGTTGTGAACCCGGCACTAGTTGTTGCAGATCTGCTGTTTGCCTAGATTGGGCCTAAACGCTCATGCTACTCTAGTCTCTGACGCTTGGTCTCCTTATGGTGTAGAAGTTGCTAATGCCTCCAAGCGTGCCATGTTCGGTGCAGTGGGGGCGCGGTGCATCGCAGCGGCGCCTTGCCATACATCGTGTAACCAAATCTACAAGAGCTGCCCCTACGGCTTGTTAGCTGGCTGCGACAAACTTCAGACATGCAGCAGGCCTGTGCCGCTATCAAATGTGGTTTCCCCCAGTCATCTGCAGGTGCGCTGTGTCACGCTTATCGTCGTATCATTCGCGAGTGCAGCTGGCCTGATGCTGCCCCGACCCTTGTGTCAGTGCAGAAGCGGAGCGAACCACAGCGAACCGACAACACAAAACCCATCTGTCCGAGGTTGCTGTCATGGCAGGATGACGATGGCCACGACGGCCAAAGACAGTTCAGGCATAGTGTACCGATGCAGCACTGGCAGTGGCTGTGACGTCACATGTGCTCCAACAAGTGCTGTGTATGCATACCTCTTCAGTTCGACCATTGCCGTCAGGAGAGGTGCCACGCAGCCGATGGCTGCAGCAGAGGCGCGCAGACCATCAGCACAGGCCGTCTGGAATCTCCTTCTGTGCCTTATGACTTATGACATCTGATGTCGTGCCTTGAGTGCATAAGCAGCAGAGTTTGTGCGCAGGAAGCTGCTGCAGCGGAGGCTGAAGGGATCACAAGTTGTGACAAGGGTTCGGCACGGTTGGTTCACTCGGGCACACGAGTCTTCATTCGGTTTGATCGGAGGGAGCGCCTGGATGAATGCTCCGGGCCCAACGCGCCAGAATGTGCCCAAAGAGCATGTTGTTGCAGGCTTTGGCCCGGCACCTCCGCGGACGACCGCGCCCAGCACTCGATCCGTTGCCCGAGCCTCAGTGGATGCAGGGCACATACGGAAAAAAGATGTCTGAAGTACCCGGACCCATTGAATGTGTTCATGTGTGTTCATTTCAGGCTTGACACCCCTTTATCAGCTGCATCAACGATCGTCAGCCGTCGTCCAAGCCAGAAACATGCTGCTTATTGCAGACCATGTGGAATGTGTGCGTCTGACATGTTTTCACCTGCTAGGGACGACAAGAGCTGGGAGTCTGCCTGTGCCCACATCAAACACACCCAATGCAGCCCAATACAAGGCCCAGCACTGTCGGATGCCAGCTGGGAGCTTCCAGAAGCAGCAGGCACTCGATGCAGGGACTTTAGCGTATCTGCAAGACCGTGAGCTCAGTCCTCTCCAGGACCGACGGATGAGGCCGATCAGCATGGGTGAGCTTTGAGGTTGGGAAGTGGCAGCAAAGCGCCGCCCCCCAACTGCACTAACTTGCATGCATCATGGGCAAGAAGTCCGTTTGAGGGGAATTCGGCCTTGACTCTCGGCACCAAGAACCAGCAAGAGCTGTCAAAGTTGAAGAATCAGTGCCAGTAGCGGGCGTGTTCCAGAGGTTCTTGGGGCCAAGCGTTCCTTACCTCTAGCATGACATGGGCTGCTTGAGGCCCACTCGTTGGCCAGGAACCCACGTTCCAAGTCTTAGGGAAACTGCAACGCAGAGGCAGTCGGAGACAGGGATGTTCCTTGATTCAGCCTGAGCCCCTGTGGCCTCAGCAGCCTAGAGGAAGTCAGCATGGCCGCATCGTTAATGCAGGGATGAAGGGTTCTTGATGGCATCGAATGTGCCACAGCAGAAGAACTACATATGTAAGATGTATTTACGAAGCATATTCGTGACAGAGTGATGATGCCAACGTGGCCGTAGCGCTTGTGCAGGCAAGATCTGAATGGCTTGCGCCGGACCTTTGCATCACTAATTTGCAGACTGTTCGACTCATGCTTTAAGATGTGGACCAACAGTCTTCGGTCCACTTTTGCTGGCGCACAGACACGCCTTGAGGTTTGGAACCCAGTTGGAGCTTCTAAGTGCAGGAAAGTCCAATGTTCGAGTTACAAGGCTTACGAGGCTTAACGATAGTCACGAGGCGAGGTTCCGGGTCTTCAGCAAATTCCAGGATGTGCCTGCGAAAACTGACCGCCAGCTGTTGCATGCCTCACTGATGTTCATTGATCGACCAAGTGCCCTGGAAGTTTTGTCAGGGTTCTTGCCTCGTTTCTTTGCAAGGTGGCAGCTTGCGATGTGACCCGATGTGCTGCAGCCTTAGACGAGTCCGGGTCGAACAGGCTCAGACCGGCTACAACTTTGTGGCCAGGCATGTGGAATTTGGCTGGAAGGCCTGCGGAGTGCCTGCAGAGTTCAAAGACCTCAGCTTGCAGAGGTAGCGAGGCCGTGTCACGTGCAGCCTTAAGCCGGGTTGCTCCGCCCACTTCCTTGTTTCGCCCAGAATCTCGTAAACTGCTCCTCATCAAGTGGAAAGACCAGTGACCAGGCGGCACGCCAAGAAAAAAGCTTCGTTTTTGCGAGCCAGGTGAGGCTGACCCGATCATCTGGCGCAACACATTGGCCGGGCATCGCGGGGCAGGAGTGGTAGCCAGTGCCTCAAACAACTGTCTTGTCAGCAGCACCTCTTTGTTGCAAAGCTGCCTGTTCGACTCCTGCTAGCATGTAGGCTCGCAAATGTTTCAACGGCATCCAGTTCATTTTTACAGTAGTTACTTCAGGGCTTGGCACAGCACGGGCTTCTTGAGATGCAATGTTGATCAAAATCTAAATCTAAGCTATATGAAATGTCATCAAATATCTCTGAAGTTATGTCTGAGCTGACCGTCAGCGGTTACGTGAAGCGACCCGTGAGTTGTGACGTGGCCTAAATGCATAGAGAGAGCGATGCTGGCTTCAGTTCGCCTGCTTCACACCTATGGGCCCCAGGGACGAGTTTGGCCAAAGGAGCCAGACCTTTCCATCTTCCCGGCAATACGGGAGATGTGCATCTTGGTCAGCAGAGCTGCTTGATTCTCGCGTTGGTCCTACTGGCCACAAGAGGACAATTGCGGAAATTGGTCAGAAGTGCACAGAGGAAACGCACCCAAACGAGGGCATTGTGTTACAAGCCTGGGTCAGAAACTGCACAGGAAGTTGCAATCAAGTCGGGACCGCAGAAGGTGATCTTGGTTTGCATTTTCCTGCACCTCCTTGGCTTCACAATGGGTGGCCCAATCCTGCCATCTCTGCTGCATCACTTCGACCTGCAAGCCGCCTCAACATGGAAGATTGCAGCTGCCTTCCCCTGCGGCATGTTCTTTGCTGTCCTGGTGTTTCCATATCTCAGTGATCAGATCGGCCGCCGACCAGTTCTGATGGTTTCCTACTTTGGAGTCGGAGTTTTCTTCATCCTCCAAGCTCTCTTTGTGTGGTTAAAACGGCTGCCACTCTTTGTGCTGATGCGGTGTTGCAGCGGGGCCTTCGCTGGAGCTTCCACAGTGGTGAAGGCCTACATTGCAGACGAGGCAGACCCAAAGGATTTACCTCAGTGGATGGCACATCGGGAAGCTGCTGCGACGTGCGCCTTTATTGTAGGGCCCCTTGTGGGGGGATATGTCCTCGAACTCACAAGCCTAGAAACCGTTTTGGTGCTCATTGCAGCGTCCTCCATGTTGGCAGGGCTGCTAGTCCAGCATTGGCTCATTCCCAATGCGCCACGTCGCACGGCCTCTCAATCGCCTGAAAAACAGGTTGAAGAAGCCAGTGGAGAGGGTTCGGCGGATTCGACGGATTCGGCTGATTCAACGCCATGGCTTCCCATCGTCACAATGATGGGCGTGACATGTGCCTACAATTTCGGACAGTCCTTCTTTGATGGCTTCTTCCCGGTTCTGTTCACCTCCAGGTTTAGCTCGGATGGTCGCCACCTCGGCTGGGTGCAGACTGGCCTTGCGGTTCTCGTTTTTGTCGTAACCTACTACTTTTACACGCCTTTGGTGCGTCGCCTTCGGCTCGTTCATGTCGCCGTTCTGGGTCTCGCGATGATCGGACTTGGCGTGGCCATGTTGGGAGTACCGCTGATGCCCCATCTCGTCGCCTCTGGGGCCACTTGGCTTGTGAACGGGTCGAGTTAAGAGAAAGACAGTTAAAGATGAAAAACACGAGCACTTGACTAATGTACGGAGCTGTTGCTGCTAACTTCCAGCCGTACCTTACCATATGCCTGATTTTTTCGGATTGGACAGGGACAACTGTACAGAAGTCTGACGGTAGCACTTCTGGCACCAGCCTGTTGGCCTGGCCCGCCCTGGATATTGCTCCAAGGTCCTGCTGTACGCTGTTGGCGTGCCACTATATGCCCCGAGCGTTCCGACAATAATGGCCCGTTGCGCCCCTCGTCGTCGGCGGGGCCTGGTCATGGGAATGGACAGGGTTTTTACACCAACGGGCCTTGCCAACGGGCGTTAAGGTTTCGTGCGACGTGATGAGGGGGCCATGCCCAAGACCACCTATAGACAATCTGTAACAGCCTGTTTAGGACGTTTAATAAACCCTTTTGTTCGAAGAGGCCTGGATGCCAAAAAACCCCAATCATAGACCCGGGTCCGCAGCAAAGCGTCGCTGAGTCGACTACGCAATCCCGCCAGGTAGCATGAAAGCCTGAATGCAACATGTGACATGCGTAGGCCTTAGAGCCCATGTGCCGGTCACGTACCGGATGATTCAATGGGCCCTGAAGGAGTCAGCAGTCAACAGCTTGGCTCGGATTGCTTCACCAGTGCTGCTGGGCCAGCTCTACGAGGCAGCAGCAAAGCGGACGTACATGGTTACACGATCGTCTGCATCTGCAGGGAGTCTTGTGTGTACCATGCAGATCCATGCAGGCAAGCCCAGAACATGCGTTCCTGCTTGTCGGCCTGGTCGTACTGGTGGGTGCAATGGTCATGGCAAAAGAGTGGCTCGGGCGTAACTGCATCTCAGTACATGTTCTAGAATTCTCCTCCCACAGTCACTCACAGTCAAGGCATGAGCTCCCCTGCGGCCCCTGCTTCACATCTTAGGTTCGGGAGCTCTGCGCTGAATGTCAACATGTCTGGGGCAACTCGGCCATCCCGAAGTTGAGCCTGGAAGGGCAATGGTTGAGGCCAGTGATGGCTTCGCCAGTCTCACTTTCCGCGCTTTCCTTCTTCGCGGGTGCAGTTTAAAGTGCTTTATCTTTGTGGCCACCAGAGCCGCAACGAGTTTCCGCTGAAACGAAGACTTCAGCCGAGCTGAGGGAGTTCGCAACGCAGCTGGAATCGAGATGCTCATCATGCGACCAGCTCTGGTCGCTTTTCTGGGATTTCAATCCACCGGACTTCCCCTTTGGCGGAAATAGCACGTGGAAAGCACAGGGCATAATAATGGTTTCCGTTTTCCAGGTACAGGCTAGAATGCTAGAGTCAAATTCCGTTTTGGCTGAAGCTTGTGTCCCCGCAGCTCCCGCAACTATGAGCGATGTTTTGTTAACGTTGTTTCATCTTGTTTCGGTCCTTTCACGCTGCCACACGCTGCCACAAGCCCTCCAGGTTCGGGCCACTGGTCGCGGCTGCATTACGGGCACGGAGCCGAAGTTTGTTTGCTCGGTGACAGTTGGGTCAAAGAGTGGTCAAAGGCTCTTAATGGCTCGTTCATTCCCTTTGATCTTTAAGTCTTTCCACGCTGAGGCAACACCATTCTCCGGAATGGAGCTGGCGGCTTGCTCGTAGAATCCGCGCGGCGTGCCGTCACGACAATCGCCTGCCTCTCAGACAGTATGCGCAGGGGACATGAGCTGTGTGAGCCGGAGCCTTGTGACTCCGGAGAGAAGGTTCGAAACCGTGTATGGGCCAACAGCGGATGTGACCTGCGGCAGTCGCCCACTTCGACTGGACCCAGCCTCAGCCATGATGCTTGTCGCTGCAGAATGAGAATGAGATCATGTATTGCTCCAGGCCTGCTGGCAGGGAAGGTAGTGCACCCAGCTGCCTCGGAGCAGAGCGGAAAGTGCCTTTCAGGGGTGGCTTGGGGAAGTCTTGGGCTCAGGCAGCTGCGGTCATCTTGGCGAACACAGTGGGGCAGGGACCTCGACAAGATCATGTGCCTGAATTGGGCCGAGAAAGTTGGGCGAAGAACGTACCAAAACAAGGATAGCCTTAAGAATTCGCCCCGCTGTACGAGCCGTTCTCACTTCTCACGCTCGTCTTTTGGAGTTTAGCCACAGTTGTCGGCATGCCTGATGTCGAACCCCATGTGTCTCGCCTCTCACGAGCAGTGAGGTTTTATAGTTTTGCGCCGCCCTGAGAAGTATGGCGATTATGCTGTTAGATGGGAATTCAGTCCGGCTTCAAAATGGGATTTGCATTTTGCAGACTTGCAAAAATCGGAGTTGACAACTTTTCTGGGCAGCCCATGTTCTCCCACACCTGCGAAAGTCACGAGCGCGTTCTGCAGAATCCGAGTCTAGCTCGTCTCGAATGTCTGGGGTGGTTTGGGCATGGACGAACTTCAACCTTAATTGACTTGCCATGTTTGAGTGGGGCTGTAAAAGGCGCGCGGGAGTTCTGATCTTGACACGAAGCTGTAGTTGTTTGTAAGCTGCGCAACATCCTGTGGGTGTAATGCATCTAGTTCCGTCCTGATGTGAGGGTTCATGATCCCCCATCAAGTTACACAAGATCCCCCCATTCTGGCTCAGTTGGTATTGTTGGTGTTTGCTTGTTCCCATGTGTCTCTGGGCATGCATTCTGTCAAGGGGCAAGCGTTCCTTTTTGTTTATAGGAAAACCTTAGTCGTTGAAAGCTGTTTTCTTGGGAAACTATTTTACCCACATGTTCTTATACGGCCTCTATATTTGGGTAGAAGAACCTTCAATTCCTCCACTTGAACATGTACAGACACACAGAAGGCAAGAACGGAAAGAAGCAGAGAAAGAAAGACGGAAGAAAGAAACAAAAAAGAAAGATGGATAGAAATAAAGAAAGAAATGAAGAAAGAAAGAAAGAAGGAAAGACAGAAGGAAATGAGGAAAGAAAGAGAAAGAAGGAAAGAAGGAAAGAAGGATGTAGGAAAAAAAGTAAAGAAAACACGCGCGAGAAAAACTGCAACACCCCCCCCCCCCCGCCCCCCAAGCATCCCCTACTTTTTCTATTGAGCTCGTGCAAATGCCATGAAGAGAACTTGCGCAAAAGAGAACTTGCGCAAAAAAACAATCGGATCCTTTCCGAAGGCGTCATGCAAGCACTGTGTTTGCAAATAGGGGTGGTGGGTCTTCCCCCTCTCCCCTGCCCCCCAACCCCGACTTTCAAGCCAAGGGCGGGGAGGGGGGGGGTCGGGGTTGGCGGGATGCCTGGTGTTCGACCCTGTGGAAACATGATTCTCCCAGCCGATTGTTTCGGTGTCACCCATTGAACGTGAAGGAGATTGCAGCTTGAGGTGCAGGCAAGGGGAAGGGGGCGATCTTGCGCAAATCCTGGAACAAGCCCAGGCATCAGGACAGCCCATCTGCAAATCATGGCATGGAGCTTACAGCCCCTAGCTCAGAAGCCTTTTGAGTTTTGCACCAAAAATTGGCTTCCCCATTGTGTCGAGGCGAATTGGCCACAGCGCGTGGTGACCAACCCGTGTAGCACCCAGTGGTTTGCCAGCGTGCCACGGGTTAGCATGGGTTAGCATGCGTTAGCACATACGTGTGGGATAACGTATCAAGGGCACACGGTTGGAAACGCAAGAAACTTGGCAGTGCAGTCTGTTGCTCGCTTCGGCTGAGTTCGAACTCGGCAGTAGTCCTGATGGATGCACGCGTTCATTGAAGCCTGCAGCGGCCAAAATGTTGGAAAGGCTTGGGGTGTGGTGATGCGGTGGGGGGGAGGAGTGGAGGTGCGGCGGTAGGGTAAACATCGGTAAGGGTGTGGCGGGTGCGGTGGGGGCTTGGTTGAGGTGCAGCGATACGTGCCATGGTGGTCCAGTAGGGTTGTGGTAGGGCAGGGGTCTTTGGTTCGCTTGAAGAAAGCCGCACAACGTCAGGATTAGCTTGCGTTGGCCTCGGCTTGCCCCTCCTGTTTAAGCAGCTGCTTGGGGTGGTCAAACATAAGATAGCCACGCAGCTTTTACTCGGTTTTGTCGGGTACTTCAGTACGACGGCTTGTTTTTATCTGACACAGCCCAAGTCGCCTCTTACAACATTGTACACTTTACAATGTACTTCCGTGACTGCAGGCGCGACCTGCGCGCCGCCGTTCGAGAAGCTCCGTCAGACAGCTTCATCTTCCTCCAACTGCAAGGCAAAGTTGTGCTCGAGGAGCTTCCGGGGCTATTCATGAAGCCCGGAACTGTTAAAATCTTGCTTCGCTGAATGCTTTGACCTTTTTTGTGAGCAGCATGAGTCCCGAAATCGGCGTAGCGACGCTGTCGCAGGAGCCCCTTGTGTTGGACAAGCCCGTGATACTGTCAGGCAGAGCCACAGTTTTTTCGGTTAGCCAGCTTCTTAACGCGGCCATGACAGGTGAGACCCTGGCCGGCGATTCAGGAGCTGCGCTTGATGTGTGTGCATGTTGGCACCCGGTGAGAACTGGAAGCTGAGCAATGCTGGGCTCAGGCGAACGTGGAGAACTCCGTGGACCACCTGGTGGAGCTGTGGTTGCTCGGAGCCATTCAGCCTGAGCCATCTCAGTGACTCTTACATACGCTGACATCAGAATCAGGGGCACACAGGCGTTCCACAGGCAACCCGCAGCAGGCATAGTCGGTGCAACTGGGGTATAAAAGAAAAAGGTGTGTCCGGATGTTGGGGTACTTGCTGGTGTCCCATGTGCGCATCGAGAGCTTGAGGTTGTGGTCCAACCCGGCGCCGAGAGCTGTGTGCCGAAGGCTCAGCTCTGGCAACTTCGGATAGCAAGAATCCCCCCGGTAGGCCCCGAGCTGGCTGTTCCCGCAAGTGATCCGAAAATTTTGGTTTTTTTAGTGAGGCGGGCCGGCTCTCCATCAATTACCCTTTGCATTCCTATCTTGTTTTTCAAGGCTTAAAGCTGTTTTTATTTTTGCTTCCTGCGGGTGGGGGAGGGGGGCGGGTAGGGGCACCATCGCCTTTTGCTGGCTGCGGACATCGGCGTTGCCGCGGGCAGACGCTTTTAATCGTGTGGGGCTGTGAGAGGTTTAAATCCTAAGTTGCCGTTAACCTGCTGGCGTACAGAGGGGAAATGGGATTCACATGTTGGGTGCTCAGGCATGATATGCATGGACGCAGACGTGAGATCTCTCAAGCTGTGAGATGCTGTGAGTTGGAAGCACGCCTTCCCATGCACTGCGGCCACGAGGGCGTGAGGGGCAACAACGGGATGCTGATGTTCTGTGAGTACTTGTCACCAATGGAGAGGTAAAGACAGGAATCGAGAGTCGCATGTCCCGGTATGCCTGGATGTGTTGATATGTGTTGCTTTATCTTCACATGACCTTTGAGGCTTTGGCGCTTGAACTTGGCTCTTTCAAACGGGCCCAAGTGCTGCACCAAGCCGGAGCGCTGTGCCAGCACACAGCCTTGTGGGGAAAGAGCAAGAAGAGCACACCACGAGCACCCCATGTTTTGATGCACTATACAGGTCGGCATCGACGCCCGCCAGCTGTGTACAGGTGGCAGCGCAGGGTCATCACAGCCGAAGTATCCGGAGTCCGAAGAAGTCATTTTTCAGAGTCCGGAGAAGTGATTTGTCGTCGAGGTGCAGGCGGGACGTCCGGTGCTGGTGGACTGCGTGTGTGCCTTAGCTTGCTGGTGCAGTTCTTCCATGCTCAGATCGTCGAAGAATGTGCATGTGCTTAGGACCTGCATGCGCAAAGCCAGCTGGACAGTTCTGATGCCGGATCGTCAGTGTTGATGTCTAGCAGAATCTAGCAACCATTGTAAATTGTAAAGGTGCGCGCAGCGGCCAGCCTTGTCGTGACCAGGTGTCGACGCACTGTGTCCGGGCAGCTGGCGCTGCTGCCACGATTTCCTGCATGCAGCTGCAAGAAGTTGAAAGTAGTTGAAAGTCGGGCAAGCAGTACTAACTAAGTAGTTGCAAGTAGTTGCACGTGAAAGTGCAAGCATCAATGCCGTGGCAAGAGTGCAGCTTCCTACTGGTACAGTGCCCTGCAGCTTGCCGCTGCCGCTGTCCCGAAGGCGCCGAGTCCAAGCTGTTGCTCATTGGTTGCTCGCTGACAAGCGCGACAGGCCCCCTGAGCCCTGACAGACTGACCTCAATATGCACATGGCAGTGATTAGAGATAGTAGAGTGTTTTCCTGTTCTCAGGAAACGGCGTGCTGCTGGTAGATGGAGCTTCGGCGTCGTTGGCTCGTCACCCAGAGCTCTTCCACCATCCATGGCGCAACTATATGCGCAGCTGTGCGCAACTGTGAGACTGTACCTGCCCTTTCGCTCATCAGCGATCAGCATTGCATGAGATGCCAGGTAAGATGCCAGGTCAAGGGCAATCGCCAAGGCGGTGTCTTTCTTGTCTGGCACTGAGAAGCTGACTCGTAGGACACTCTTTTGACTAGGATGCTGCCGTACACTGCCCCTCCTACCTTTTGGATGGCGCAACATCTTGAGACTTTTCAGCTTCAACGAGATATGGAGGATTCGCACGCAACTTTGTCAATACATCTTTATGTTAATGCCCTGAGATGATGTGAAACCTTTGTCGAACTCTTCCGTCCTCGATTCAGATTTGTGCAATCTGTGTTAAGTATTAAACTAATTGAAGTTCAAAGCTTGAAGTCAAAGGTTAAAAGATCGAGGACTATCAGTGCATTTTTGGATATCTTCCTTCGGTCTTCTATCTTGGGGTTCAAGGCTCAGGGGTGATCTCCCAGTGCACCAGTACCAGGACAGCCAGCGCAGGATTCACAAAACAATGCCCGTATGAAGCTACAGGATATCCGGTAATCCCCTTTGCGTAAGCGGGAGGCTGTGATGCAGAAGCTTTGTTGTACATGGATGGTACTGTAGCTTTCGCGTGGGAGCCTTCAAACAAAGACGACAATGTGACGTTTGGTGTGGTCCAGTTGTCGATGTTTGTATGAACGGAGTTCCCTCAAGACAAGAATCCTCCGAAAATGGGCTGCTAGAAGCATTCCACGAAATCTTAAGCAAATGCGTGTTTAGAAGAGAGGCCATCCAGACCAGAATCGGGGGCATCAAGCCAGGCAGACAACGCCTCCTTGCTGGCAGAATCGTCGGACATTAGCCGTTGGCTGCCTAACGCACTCTTGGTGGGGGCTGATGCGTGTTTCCGCTTTGCAGGCTTCCGCATGCTGCTGTTTTTACGTTGATGAAGCCACACTCGCACAACACATCTTGTTATCTTGCATGGGCGCCCAGGAAATGGGCACTTCGGTGTGGTGGCTGGCAACAGGAAAGACCCTAAGTCCGCGGAATGTAGGGAGGCTCTCGTCTATTGTTCTCTTTGTGCAGCGAAGGTTTCACGAAGCTCGCGTGTTGCCGATCTTTGCTCAAAAGTATTCAGCCCTCATGTTCACTGGGGTGGGGCAGTGCGCATGGAGGTGGAGGACATAGTAAATATTCACGCAGATAGCGACGACTATGTCACCGAAGTGGTGGACGTCACAGGCGGCAGTGATGAAGAGGACTTGGTGGAGGTAAAGGCAGGTGCCCCTCCAAGATATTTTCATGGTTACAGAAGGGGCCGTGAACTTGGCAGAGGCGCCTCTGGCCAAGTTTTCGTGTGCCACAAGAAGGGTGCCACAACCGGAGGAGGCTTTGCTGTCAAAGCGGTGGATCTGCGAAGGTTACATCTCCAGCCCAATGCAGAGCGTGAGGAGAAGAAGCTCAGCCGAGAGGTTGAGATTCTGAAGCGCCTTCCTCCGCACCCAAACATTGTTCAGCAGCTTGCTCGCCAGGAATAAGGATGAAGAATGAGTACTCTATTAGTCTCTCTGCTTTGAAGTTGACTGTTCTCCAGTGCTCATTTAGAACACTAGCTGCTAGCCTTGCCTTTGCATAAGGTTGGTGGACACCTTCGAAGAAGGTGAATGGTTCCTCTTGGTTCTCGAGCTTGTTGGCGGTGGAGACTTGTACACTGTGCCTTAGCTCGCATCCAGCGCGTGGATACTCAGCTCGCACGCACTGCGCTTGAAACAGCCAAGGTTTTGACAAATCGAGAACCGCCCCGACTGCACGAGCGCGAGGCGGCTTTCGTCCTGGCGCAGCTGGCTGACGGACTTGCATTTCTGCACGGTGCCCTGGCGCTAAGGGCGCAGAATGCTGGCGCAGTGCCGAGAAAGCAAAATCAACAGTTGAGGGAACAGCAGAGGAGTAGCAGAAGCAGCAGCAGGAGCAGCAGCACGCAGCAGGGGTAATACTAGAAGGAGCAGTAGCAGCGGGAGTAGCTTGGGAAAGTAGGAGTCGGCGAGCCTGCCCTAGAGCTGAGCTGCATGCCAGCGAGGATGTGTTCTTCTAGCTATGTGCTGTGCTGAGATATGCTGAGATGACGCAGAGATGATGTGACGTGAGCGCGTGCACGCGTTTGTGCGTGCACGCGATTGTGCATGCACATGTACGTGCGTGCACATGTGCGTGCGTGTGAGGTCAGGGTGTGATCCACCGGGACATGAAGCTGGAGAACGTGTTGGTTCATGGAGAGCGACGAGAGCGGCCGCTGATTCTCTACACCGTGAAGATCACAGACTTCGGCCTCTCGAAGGCCAGCCGATGTCAGGGGTAACACTAAGAGTAGCCGCGATAGAGATTAAAATGACCAAAATGGTTCATTTGGCTTGCACGCTTTTTTCCCGGTGAGAAGAGCTGGACTGGTGAGTTTTCAAGGAACAGTGGGCAAAAGGGGTACGGGGATGGCAGACTCTGAGGACTAGGAAATATCTGCTTCGTGCTTGACCCGTGTTGGGGCATTAGCACGTCAAAGTTCTACGTGGCCAATGTCTTGATCACTGTCTTCTGTGGAAGAAGGGGAGGAGTGCGCGGCAGCCCCGGGCATTTCTTGCCACATAGGGTTTGTAGAAACAAATCATGTGAAACAACAGGGTGCGACATGTGCATGCAAGGCGGGGTCCAGGGGGGAGGAGCGTGAAACCCTCGACATGACCGTGTTTTTGATTCTCCTGCTACTCACGGGCACTGTCCTGGGTTTAGTCTACAGGGCTCTCGCCAACCGTGCTGGTGTCCAGCAAGCTTGGAGGAAACAGAGGCTTCTTAATTTCTGGAGTGTAGAGGCTCGAAAAGAAAACAAAGAACAAACAACAGAAAGAAATAATGAACACAGAGAGAGAGAGAGAGAGAGAGAGAGAGAAAGATCATATATATATATATATACATACGCAAAACAGCCTGTAAACCCTCTACGTCCTAGGTTGGATAGGAAAACCTCTATCTATTTCCTTAATCAAGTACGGAATGCAGATGCATGCAGTCTGCGAGGATGCAATATTATGCACACAACAGGACAGGCATGAGCCCTTTTTTCGAAGTCGTTTTGATAGGCCAGACGGGGCCGGAGACAAGGAGTGACGGGACAGATGGTAGAACGTTCGGACGACCGAAAGCAGCCGGTAGTGATCCGACTGCTGGCCACCGCCGCGAAGTCCCGAAGGCTCCCGATCACCCGAGAGTAAACGGAAGGACTCCGTGACTCCGTGGTCTTAAGACTTGCGTGGCCCTGACAAGCCCCACCCCGCAAAGCGACAGGCACCCAGAAGTCTGCCAGAGTCTGCCTGTCAAAGTCATTCGGAATTCTTTTTGCGTTCTTTATTCATATGTTTGTATATATATATATATATATATACATGCATATAAATTTGTCTATTTGTGTAATTGTGTCTCTTCTGGTCTCTCAAAAGTTTTCGCGTTTCTGTACGCTAGCCCGGTCCGGACAGAGTCCGGGTAGGCTTGGCCGCAAAAAAAACATGTCGCGCTTGTTGCGGACCTGTGAAGAAGTCCTGCGGGCATGTGTGGCATGGGTGTGACATTAGAGTTCTGTGTTTTTCGGGTCTCTTGGAAGGCAATTGGAGCTGGCTTCAGCGAAGCTCGGTCTACAGTCGGCACGCGGCCGTACACGGCTCCTGAGGTTCTTAGGGAAGACTCGCACGACTTCAGTTCTGATCTGTGGTGCTTGGGGGTGCTCCTTTTTGTCCTCCTCGCGGGACATTTCCCATTTTCAAAGATTCCATTTAAGCAGGAAGAATTACAGGTGATTGTTGGCAAATTGAAGATCAGTGACATTTCCAAGTCTGTGGTGCTGGGCCTTCTGCAGCTAGAGCCCCGTCAGCGGACAGACCTTGCGGCGTTGAGCAGGCATGAGTGGCTGTGCTACGAGGTGGAGTCCCCAGATGAAGCCGAGAAGTCTGAGAGGCCTAAGCGGACTCGATCTGTGAGTGCTTCTCCTTCCATGCGTCCGGTCACAGCACCACAGGCGTCTTTGTCAGGGCAAGTGGTGGTACACAGCGTGCCGGCAAGGAAGCCCGCGGAGCCCGCGGAAGCCGTGGCCGAAGCCACTGGTAGCACTGAAGCGGTCGGCACAATTGGACCGCGAACCAAAGTTGAAGGATCACCCGCAGCTTTTGGAGCTCCCATGCCAGATCCACCAGTTCCTGCGGAGCAGGGCCCCGTCATTGTTCCTCCACGTGTCGATGTACCTCAGGTTGTCCCGAAACGTTCCATCTCGATGATCACGACAGGTGAAGTTTCACCGCCAAGCACTCAGCCAGAAGTGATGCAGCTACACATGGTCGTGCCTGACCGGCTAGCTGGCACCATCATGGGCAAGAGTGGACCACAGCTGAAGCAGATTTCAACAACGCTGGGCTGTCAAGTTCGCATGATTTCCCGGAAGGCGGTTGGACAACATCGCAGCTTCGGTGACCACCGTATCGTGATCTTTGGCAACTATGGCCAGTGCGTGATTGTGCAAGAATTAGTGCACGGACGTCTGATGGACGCATTGCGAGCAGAGGGCAAGGAGCCCACGACAGACACGGCAGTTGTGCTGTTCGTGCGCGCGGAGGCTGCAGGCATGGTGATTGGCAAGCAGGGCTGGGTCCTCAAGCAAATTCGGAAGCAATCCAACGCAAAAATCCAGCTGCTGCGAGAGGAAGTACGTGGCCAGCGTCCCTGCATCATTGAGGGCGAGCTACAAAACATCATTCGAGCGGAGAAGCATGTGTTTGACTTGGTCGCTGCTGTTCAGGTGGTACCACCCAACGCTCCCGTGCCGACAGCCACAGAAATAGGGCAAACTCCGCGCTGGACAACCTCTGGACCTTACCTTCCACGAACGCGCATCAGTGCAGAACCCCTCACTGGCAAAGTGGTGTTCTGGAAGGGACAGGTGGGCTGGATAGAACCTGACCATGCCGTCAACCATCCCAAGGCTTATGCCCACAAAGGGCAGCTTTATGTACATTCACAAGATGTGTTGAATGGTGAGGCCCTGTCCTCGGGCACACAAGTCCGGTTCCATCTTTATGAGGACAGAGCTGGTCTCGGAGCTGAGCAATGCTACGCCTTCTGAGTATTCTGAGGGCCCACCTACAGCCACCTCAAATCAAGAAAAGCTAGCTTCACCGGCTTCACCGTACTTGCTCTATGCTTGCTTTGTGCATCTTTGTGCTGCTCTTCAGCGGCAGTTCTGCACTGAGGTCAGGCTCGCTCCTTGTGGGGCGCACCGACCTGACCGGGAACGATGCCGGAAGCCTGCGCAGCACTAAGAGCTGGGTTGCCCACATACAATGAAGGATTGGCGTAGATGGGCAAGGTGTTCATGCTAAGGTGGCAGACCGGGAGCGACGCTCCGTCCAGCAGCCGCATGCTGAGCATACGTTGGCACACTGTTGGCACCACATGCCACAGCGCGGAAAAGCGACTGTATGCCCGCAGCATGAAAATTCTGACGGAGAGGCCAAAACATGCCAAGACCGAAAAAACTTTGAAGATCGGACATGGCTTGGGCATGCCAGGGTGGGCATGTCCAAATCCTAAGTTTTGATAGTCTTGCGACCACTAAGACATGCCTCGCAAGGCCTTGCGCTTCTCGACCAATGCTCAGTGTCAACGGCCTAGTCATGTTGTGATTCAGATGGAGGAACTGGGGTTCGTCACAGCGGCACTGGTCACTTGTGTCTTCTTGAGCTTTCAACGATTCCCAGCACTTGTCAAGTTAGATGTTGCCTTCTCAAAGGTCTGGCAGCTCGGTGCCCACAGGCAACGCAGCATCGCCAGCGATTGTGTTGGGGGCCAGCCTCTCAGACGGCAAAAGTTCGGATAACAAAGGCCACGAGTCATGCGGGATCAGGCTCTGGCCAAGCTGGTGCTGCAGGGTTCTCAGGAGCCTCCCAAGAAACAGCAACGGATGCGACTTGAGTTGCGGCTCCATAGCGACAGCCAAGATGGGATTGCTTTGCACCCACCATGCGCAGTGGTGCGCTTGCCCCTGGCCAAGCTGATCAGCCACGCCGCTCGGGAACAAACGTGTGGGTGAAAGATGCGAGAATCTCACAGGCTGCAGCGCTCAGAGCAGAGGCCAGAAGAGTTTGATGTGGAGATTTGAAGGTGTGGGTGCGGGACAAATAGATGCATGAGTCGGTGCAAGAAGGCTGGTTCGTTTGCCGCGGTTGCTGGCGATGGGCCGCTGGACATGCAACCTTTTGCTTTTAATCGCAGCTCGATTCATGTTCGCACTGCCTTGCACGGATTGTTGTCCACATGCAAGTTGCCTGGTCGTAGGGGTCGTGAGCAGTCGTTGTGAAAGAGAGACATTGAAAGAGAATGCACCCGGTTCCCTGGTTTGCCATGAAATTATGCAGAGCTTCATCTTCTCTGCGATTCAGACAAGGCCGACGTTGGGCTGGTCAGGGTGGATGCCGCGGTCTCGCATGGCAGCTGCGCCAACCCGGCGAGGTTGAAGGGCCGGTGACGTAAGGAGCAAACCGTGCGTCATGTCTGCGAAAACATCCAAGCGGTCATTCGGCAGATTTTGAGAGCAGGCTTAAAGCATGCAGCAGGTCCGACAGTGATGCCTACCGCGGTGGTCCGGCTTTGGGTGCAGGCAAGATGCAAGTCATCTGGGTCATGTTTGGCATTGAGAATCAGTGTCTCAGTTTTGGTGTGAGCGAAGCAGGATGTGCTGTCAATCGAAGGGGCTGACTTACATTTGGACGGAAGCTTCGGCTGTTGTGGATCGCTCCCGCTGCGACATACTCAGGCAACGTTGCATGGCTTGACGTCAGCGGAGCTGCGGTTCTGATCACGGCTCAGCATAACAGCATGCCTTGACCAGATATGCACCTTTCGTGCCTGGTTGTGCTAGACACGGTCACAACTGCCACCACTTAGATTCCTACTCGTGTAGGCCTTTACCGAGGCAAATGACGCCAGGCAGTGCTGCCAAATCACGCCCATCATCTGCTTCTTCAATGGCGTCTTGAACTGAGCGTCTGATAGCGGACAGCGTGCATGCTGGTAGTTCCGCCCGTGGTGCGGATGCAGTGCGGGCCTGACGAGGCTTTCGCAGCGACACTTGGCTGGGAAGGAGCAACCGAGAGTCAGCAGCCTAAGCGGATGCATAGGTGAAGCTGTTTGCCAAGCAAAAAGCTACGCAACGTCCATCTGAGCCTCGAACATCGTCGGCACAGTCCCAGTCTTCGGATCCGGCTGCAGACAGCCCCTTGCCACGGCCCGGGCAGTCTTTGCGGCATGCCTGGACACCTCAACATAGTGCTTGCTATCCAAGGGATGAGAAGCCTAAGAAGAAGAAAAAGGACAAGGATAAGCGCAGCTCCGGAGACAAGGACCCTATGGAGGCCGTTGGCAAATGCGGAGGTACTGTCGAGTGTCGAGCATGACTCAGGAAGTTGAAAAGGAACTGGAAGACGGAGAGGCAAAAGCAGCTCATGCCCCAGTTCCTGTCCGCATGTGAAGTACTGGCTGGTCCAGCTGTCAAGAAATGAAAAGTTGCAAGAGTGCAAGCCGTGCCACAACATGTGCACTTGTGGGGAGATTGACATTCCGATTTCGAGTGGCAGGAGATCGCCGTCGGAGGCCTTGGTTTGGCAAAAAGGAAAGATGAGATACAGAAGGGAATGAAGATTCAGTTTTTCCAAATCCCTACACCGGCACTGCACGCTATGCCATGCTCAGTCGTTCGGTCCGCCGGCATTCTGCACGGTCAGATAGGTTCAGCATGCCCAGCAGCGATGCAATCTTTGTTTTCGTTTCTTGACAATGTGAGATGCAGGCGAAAGCGGCCGCAGTGAGGACCGTTATTTTGTGGGTCTTCTCAGTAAGCTTTACACTCCTTTCCTTAGCCATATCGTCGGGGTCTTGCAGGAGCCTACACCACGGCCAGGGCCGAAGCTCTCCAACAGTCCCTGATTCCCTGATGAGTGGTGATGGTCCGAGGTCCGCTGAGGAGGCCGAAGCCAGCACCGTTGTGGACGAAGTGTCAGAGGCCCTGGCCTGTCTGATCAGCACCTGTCCCAAGATCTCAAGATATCCTAAGCCACCGCTGCAACTCGTCCGTCTAGTTCAGCCTTCGCCCTGCAGGCGCCTGATCGGAGTGGACAGGTGCGTGGTTGCATGCTACTTTTGTATGTGCTATGGGATGCTATGGGAATCAGTTCTTTGTTTATTATTCTTAGGAGGGGCCTGAGGCATCCCGAGGCTATGCTGAGGGAGAGTAGACCGAGTAGACGAATTTGACAGGAGCAGTCGTTTGCACTTCACCACCTCGCCCAGAAAACATCCGGCTTCCAGGCAGCCGTGGAAGAAGGTGGCCATGAAGCTTGGCTCAGGCTGAGATGCTGGCCTTTGCCTTAGGACCTTGGGACTTGAGTGCCATCTTTCGCCAGGGCCAGGATGGAGAGATCGGCAGCCTTTGGTGCCGAGGTACGCATGCGGCGCATGCCCACTTGTGATCGTTGTTAGACTTCCATATACTTCCATCATGCAGGAGGGTGACCGATGGACACTGTTCGAGATACTGGAGATGTTAGCCGTGAAGGATAACCACAAGGAGGAGACTCGACTTTTCGCCAGCACACCACCGCTAGTGACGTTAGGGCAGTCGCTCATGGCGGCGATTAGTCAGTGTCAAGGTGTTATGTCAAGTTGGCAAAGTCGTGAAACGTGCGTACCTGTTGGCATCTTGCAGACACGATGCCTGCTTCACAACGGCGTGTTGTACTTGCCCACCTCTGCAAGGAGGTTTTGGACAGCGTTGGCTTAAGCGGCCAAATCAAGCCGCACGACACAGTGCTGCACTTATGTGATGCCAAGAGGCGATTCCCAGTTGAGAGCTGGTGGATGCAAATGCCCGACTGTCAATGCCTTCAAAACAATCGAATTCAGTGGAAACACAGCGACTTTCGCAACTTGATGTTATGCATGACTGTCACACGCATGCACACAAATCGTCATAAAGGCAGGGTTTGATTGAGTTCAATTCTCCTCGAAATGCCGCCGCAAAAATAAGGTGTACCTTCGTGGCCACACTGGTCGCTGGACATCATGTTTCTTTTTCACCTGTTTGCATCCAGCCCGGTTGGACAGTTAGATTCGGCCGGAGTCACATGACCGAGCGTAGATCTGTCGCAGGATGGCTGTGAAAGATGGTCAGCCGCCAAGAGCGGAGAATGTAAAGAGAATGGTTTGAAGTTTGAAGAAGCGGACTCCATGATCGCTTGTGACTTCCAATGTTTTGCAATGCTCTGCACTATCTCTTTTCATGGCACCGGAAGTTCAGAGATCTAGAAGTCTAGACGCAATTATGAGAAGCTTCGGCTCGGCAAGGCACGCAGGTTGTCTGCAACGCAGCTGACCGTGCGCAAGCTGCCACATTCGCCAGCATCCCAGCGGTCCAAACCCTTCTACTGTTCCTGAGCACGGTGGAGCACAGTGCTGCGGAAGAATTTTGAAATTTGATGTCAAGTTCTATCGTTGAGGTGATTGAATTCAAGGGTGCCGCCTTGAAGAATGACTGCCGTGGTCTTGGTGTTGCAGGGTTCTGATGGTTGTGTGTGCTGGATGTTCGAACTACGTCAGCAGGCGAAACATCAGAATTCAGAATGACTCTATTTTTCAGGCTCGGCTTTCTGGCCACTTGGGTTGCAGCAGGGTGTTGACAAGCTGGGCTTCAGCCAAGAATGCGGCATGCTGTGGCTTCAAGCTGCAGGTTCTTCTCTTTGACTGCACAACAAGCACGAAGTTGGTCCCCACGGTGATCCTTGAGACATCTAATCGCAGCTTCGGCATCGTGTCAAGTCTAAGTAGCAGTGAGAACACGGTGGGCTTTTCTTATCATCGATCCTCGCCGCGCTGTTCTGGGCACCCCTGCCCGCTTTCATTGCCTCTCTGTACACGACGAATTCTCACTGGCCAGAGCTCTGCGTCTGAATGCTTTAACCGCAAATGACGATGACTCCGGCAATTGTGCACACCTACGCTGTCCATATTGTTGTTGTTTCATCTTCATGCTTAATGTGACCACGGAATGCGTTAAATTGCAACGTCTGGCTGTTGGCACATTCTCGAGCCTGCCAGAGTATAAATGCAAGACTCTTTTCAAAACCGATAATTTGTTTGCATGCGCGTGCTAGCTTCACATCAGATCTAATGTGTACCCTGACCCCCTGCCCTTCCACCTCCTCCCCTCCAACACGACCCGCAGACTCAAGCAAACATGGACCCAGTGCAAGCAGCGGCAAGTAAGAAGGCTTGCCGGCTGAGCAATTTCATCCGGGTGCGCAGGCAAGCGCAGGCAATCGCAGGCAGCGTGCCTTTCCGACATGTTCCGACATTGATTATAATGGATTCAGAATGCCCGCTGCGGCCAAGGCCGAGTGTCGTTCAAGTTGGAGTCCACGGGTGGTCGTACTCTCTGGCTCCCCAGCTGTGTCTGAAGGATTTCAAAGGTTCAAGGATGATCTTGATTTCACCGACCAGGGCCTCCTACGACTGACATGCCTTAATTCGAAGTGCTCTTTTTCAGGCCAGGTGGACAACCCCCCGTTTGTGCAACCACAGGTTTTATTCGGACATTTCAGATGCGGAGCATACTGTGGAGTTGATACTGTAGGCTTGGTGCGCTGCCTTCCTCGGATGTGGGCCTGATGCAGAAAGGCAGTGCTCGGAAAATGGGACACAGGGCGCCTGGCATCCGATCGTGCGGAGAAGATTTGTGAACAGGAGACGCGGGGTCCGACAATTCCATGCGGTTTGTGGCGTTTGGCTCAGCACAAATCAGGCAAGCAGTTCTTGGGAAGATGTTCGAGCATGTTCGAGACCACAAGGCAAAAACCTCAATGCCCACCCCAGTCTTATCTGGAACGTCGGCCGGAATCTGAGAAAGTTGTCATGGGTAGGCTCAGGTAACATGAAGTTTGGCCTCTGCTCAAAGTACAAAGCCAGTTCAGGTTTCCGGGTTCACGGCGCGCTGTCATGGCAGAGTGTTTCGATTTGAGTTGCCCTGCATGCGCACTTCCCCTCTGTTTGGTCCACAAACGTGATGACCACTGTTTTCGGGCAAACTAACTTTTGCATCTGCCTGGACGCGTTCCACAAGTTTGTGGCTTTCAAAGGGGTCAGGCGGGCTAATTCAAGAGAGCATTAGTCCGAACCGTTGATGTTCACCTGCGTTGTAACTCGACGGTTGAGGAATGAAAGCTTGACAAGTCGATTTGACATGCCAAGTCCACAAGTTGTTTTCATTCGAGGTTCATTTCAGATCGATGGCCACGGGCAAGATGATGGAAGTCGATGGTGCAGATGCCCACTTGCAGCAAAAGGCGTACTCAGCACAGCTCCAGGACCCAGCAGTTGGAGTCAGGTGCGGGCTCGAAGCAATTCAGAGGGCACTCGACAACGAATAGCGGCAGCGCCCTCGGTTCCAGCTATCCTAAGCTTGTATCGTTGCTGCAAGCTTAACAGGGCTGTCGCCCATGGCCGGCCACGCCGCTATGGGTTCGGGCCGCACACGCACGCTGAAGCTGTTGTCGAGGCAATGTCCACCACTCGCACAAGAAGCAAGGGGCCATGGACCCTTATGCCCGTCTATCACCCTCTCCAGCGTGCATATAGTACAACGGCACAGCGATCATACCCACCCTGTCCTTAAACCCCTTGCTGTAGACCCGAAGATGTGCAATGTACAGTAGTCGTCCACCTTGGCTGGAGTGCATGAGTGTGCAATGAAACATGAAGAAACCCCTAAGCTCGAAATGCTTGAGCTTTCCACTGTCTCAAGCCACGGCATAATTCGCGACAAAGTGGCCAGTGCATTCAACTACAACATTTCAGTGTTCACTCCAGAGTTTTGGATCCCGCTCGGCGTTGGGAGATGAGCTAGAATCAGGTATCGGAAAGAGCATGAGTTCGATTGCTTGCAAACCGAGGTTGAGAAATTTGCGACTGGCATTGCCTTGTCGGCGCCCCTGTCAAATGCGACCACTTCTTCACCGTCTCTCTGCACCAAAGAAGCAAAGGGGAAAGAACAAAGAAGGCATGCTCTCCTCCTAAAGAAGCGTTGAGTTTTTTTCCACTACGAAGAGAGCTCTGAACATTGTTGCCGAGTCGCCTCTTCAAGGCCGGAGCCCTGCCCTGATCTGGACCTGACAGTGGAGCAGAAGGCGCCCCTAGTGCGCCCCTCCCCCCTCCTTTTTCCTCCTCTGTGCCATTCATCGCCTCACGAGTTGGGACTCCCTGCTTGACGTAGAGTTTTTGTCACTTTTTTGGGGATCTTTTGGGGGGGACTAAGGCGTGGATCTACCTTCAGGCAGCCCATTGCGCGCTGGCCGCTGGCTCGTTTTGAAACGTTGCCCTTGGAAACGAGAAGGGTGCGCGGCGTGTTCCTGCCACACAGCAGTGCTGCGTGTTCCACGCAATGTTGTCAAGGTTGACAGGCAGAACCTCGCCCGCTTTCTCAGTGCGCGACTGATTTGAGCTGCACAGCAGTTGGTGGCGGCTGTGCCTCCAGCATCGCCCCGCATATTCTTGAGTTGCAGAGACTGGAGAAATTTTGAAGAGTGTTGAAGAGGCAGTCCGAAGCCGCACTGCAAGGAGCTGCTCAAGGCCCATGAAGCCACTTTGCCTCACAGCGCCTTACCGCATATTCCAAACAGATTCCTGTGCAGCAGCCGGCAGGCGTACACGCGCCTGTGGGAATCCGAATGGTTTGGGGCCGAGTTTCGGGTCACTAGGCTTGGTGCCTTCACACACCTGTCGTTGTGCTTTGTCAAAAGATGGGAGCGGAGAGATGCACTCCTAGGCGGGTGGAATGGCGGCAGACCTTGGAGATCCCAGAGGATCCTCATGCGATGTTAAGATTGCACCAGGTTCTCAGTAGATTTGCCTGCCAAGTAAGCCTTTAAGTGATCCTCGCGCACGTGAGTATTTTGTCTAATCCGAGCACCTGTTGAATTGGGGGGGGGGGGGCCCCACCCCCCCACCCACCACAATAAGAAAGGCAGGGTTCCGCAATAGTATGACCATGGCTCTGTATTGATTCTCTACTAAAAACAAGAAGAATGTATTGCCAACAATAAGAATATGTAGAATATCTTTTAAAACTGAATAACAAAGTATTGACTCTCTATGAAAAACAAAACCAGGAATGTATTGAATCTCTATTCAAACTGAATAGCAAGCCCAGGGCTCCCCCCCCCCAAGGCCTCCCATAATTGTGTTCCCTTTTCATGAATGTGATGCTGTCTTTTGCCAGGCAGAGCCCATAAGGGTACTCTCTCCTCCAGTAAGCAATCACATAAGAAATCCTAGCTTTCTGAAGGGCCCCAGATTCTGGGAAAGTAAAGCTTCGGCTTCTTTAAAGCTTCTCGGCGAAATAAATTTCGTTAAGTGTGGGGGTATTAATTAAACAGGTGCTCGGATTAGTCCGTTTATACGATGTACTACATACTTGAGGCAAACCGTTCCCACAGCCTTAGATCGAGGATGTCCTGCTCTTTCCTGACGGCAGCGTCTCAGCTTCGAAAAAGTGCACCACGCATCCTGCGACCTCCACGCCATCCGCACTCAGCTTCTTGCTGCCCAGTTAGGCTGCCTTGGCCTAAACCAAGTCCGCGCAGAAATTACAGCGAGGCCTTTTTTCAAACGACAGCGGTAGTTTGCTGCAAGTCAGCGCGAAAGTGGGGATCGCGAATCTGACCACCCCAGTTGGACAAATCGCTCGAAACGACTCCCACAGACTTCACCTCTTGGGATCCATGACAGCCCCTCACAAAAGATGCTGGCAAGTTGGGAGGAAAGTGCCGCCAGCTCACCTGGCAGTCGGCAGTTTGCGGCTCAGCCGGCTTTGGCCCTGCGCTACAACCGAAGCACCCAAGTTGAGTGGTCTGAGTTCCTAGTGGCAGCTCTGAGGTCATCCAGGAGTAACTCCATCGGACCGGCAACGACATCCGACTCTTCACGTCCACGAGCTCGATCCCAGTGGCTGGGCCCGGTCAACTCATTGCTGTTCTTGTGGTGCAAGAACGAAGATCCGTGCCATCCTCTGCCACAACCCTCAGGTCCATCAGGAGACGCATGAGTCGAACAGTCGGCCCCTCAAGCTTGAGCATCTTTTTCAGTCATTGCACAAGATGATGAATTTAAATATGTCGCTGCAAGCTACGACAGGAAGAAGGATGACTGCTTTTCTGAACTCCAGAGTACTTTGGTACCCTTGCAGAAGGAGGTTTTGAAAATGACGCCTCCAAGGGGCAGACTGGATAGGCAGTTAGTGTAGATGCGGAACAGCATGGAACCGCCAAGGATTGGATCTTGGGCATGGTGGGCGGTGTGTCATCCACAGCAGATGACAAGAGCAATGGCAACCTTTTTGTGTCTGCATCCCTGAGATGTCCTGGGTCCCGCATGTGCACATTGGAGGGAAAAAAGGGAGTAGAAGTGAGGATGACTTCTTCCAAACATGGAGCCAAGGTCGGCCATGCGCTCATTCTTCGCTAATGCCATCAAGATGTCGCAACTCGAGGTAGGTCATTCACATGTGCGACAAAAGACCTGTGTCATCCGTCGGTGCGAAGCATCCCTTGCAGGCCGACCCTGTGCAGCGTGTCATCGAGGCATTCGCTGAGGCACTGGCTCCAGTCTCAGTATCCTGGGCGATGGTGACCACCAGTGGATCTTCGGGGTGTCGGTTTGGTGTCGACATTCTGCCGTTTGCGAGGTTGCGGATGCCGCGTTTCTAGCATGTCCGCGGCCCAGAGCGTGGACATCTTGGCTTTGGTTTGAGAAGGGCAGTTCGTGTCTGGCGATGCCGGCGATGCCCAGTCACAGAAAGTTGGCTTGAAACTGCAGCAGGTTTTGAAGCCTCGATGCTTCCAGAGAAGGAGATCCAACCTCAGCACCGTGACACATTTGCCTGCGAGATTCCTTTTGCTACCGGAGTAATGTTGACGCATGGACCTGGAGCTTCGTCCTTGCAGCACCATTGCCAAGTAGCCATAATTTGTTGACCTCATGCTTTCCCATCTCCCACTTTGCTAAGGCGTCAGACATATCGCAAGCCAGATGAGGTTCTCTTCGGCCTCGCCTACACAACGCCGATGCCTGTAAAGAAGCAGTTGTGAACAGGTGAGCCAGAAAGATTCGAAGTTCTGACG